TGATGCCAAGACTCGCGAATTAATTTTTACGGGATACAGTGAAGCACAGAAAGCCTACAGATTTATTGATTTAAATAATCCAAAAAGGATTATCATCGGTCGAGATGCAGTCTTTAATGAAAAGTTACAAAATCCCTCGGTCAGTGATCTCAAACCTGAGGAAGTTATCAAGCAGCCTACATCTGATAAATGTACAAAAGAAGTTTCTCAAGCCGAGAAAGAAGTTGCCCAAGGAGGACTTTATTGGGATTATCGTGAAGAGGACAGAGTGTCTTCCGCTACCAACGTCTGTGATGATGAAGTCGGAGAAGTAATAAGATCAGAAACAGAAAGTCAAGCCGTAAGTAATATACGGTCAGATACTTTTGAAGCTCAAGACGAAATGAGTAGTCAACAAGATTCTGAAATAGAAGAAACTAGTGAAGTTTCGCCAAATAGAAGATATCCCTTACGAATACGTACTCCAAAGAGATATGATGATATGGAATACAATTTTCTAGTCTCAACTAATGGAGATCCTGTTTCTGTAAAGGATGCAATGAAGCGCTCAGATAAGACGCTGTGGAGGAAAACAATGGAAGAAGAATATAATTCCCTTATAGAGAATGGCACTTGGAATTTAGTTGACCGTCCTTGTGGGACTAATGTGGTTAAATGTAAGTGGTTATTTAAACTCAAAATAGGAGCGGATGGTGTAGTTCAGCGACATAAGGCGAGATTAGTTGCCAAGGGTTATTCCCAAAAATGGGGAGAAGATTATTTCGAAACCTTTGCACCAGTAGTCAAGCTTTCGTCAATCAGGATGTTGTTTGCTTTATCTGTTGAGAAAGACCTCAAGGTACATCATATTGATGTTACTACAGCCTTCTTAAATGGTGACCTCGAGGAAGATCTTTACATGGAGCAACCAGAAACCTTTGTAAAGAAGGGAAATGAGCAAAAGGTATGTAAGCTCAAGAAAGCCATATATGGATTGAAACAAGCAGCTCGATGCTGGAATGTCAAAGTAGATGCTCACATTGTTAAGTTCGGCTTCAAGAGGTCAAATTATGATTCTTGTGTATATATTAAAAGAAGTAAGAATAATTTTACAGCTATTGCTCTGTACGTAGACGATTTTTATATTTTTGGCAGTTCACAACAAGTTGTTGATCAAGTTAAGGATCACATAAGATTAGGTTTCAAGATTAAGGATTTGGGTGAGGCTAAAGAATGTCTGGGTATGCAAATCACGAAATCAGAAAACTTGAAAGAAATTCATTTGAATCAGACTAATTTTGCTAAAAAGATATTAGAACGATTTGGTATGGAAGATTGCAAACCTGTTGCGACACCATTGGCAATGAATTTGAAGTTAGAAAAGGGTGACATAAATCATGATCCCAGCTATCAAGAAATCATTGGGTCCTTGATGTATCTTGCTTTGGGTACAAGACCAGATATTGCTTTTGTTGTAAGTTATCTCAGTCAATTCAACAACTTCTGGAACACAACTCATATGTCAGCATTAAAACGTGTTTTACGGTACGTCAAAGGCACAATGAATAATGTTTTAATATATAAGAAAACTGGAAAACCGTTATGTGCTTTTTGTGATGCAGATTGGGGTAAAAATGAAGATGGTCATTCGTTTACGGGATATATGCTTGTTTTAGGTGGCGCTGTAATAGCATGGCAGGCACGTAAACAGCGATGCGTTGCATTAAGCTCAGCAGAAGCTGAGTATATCGCTGCTTGCGAGGCTGCTAAACATATTATATCTGTGAAAGGTTTATATGAAGAATTAACTGGTGTTAAAGTGTCAGTAGAATTGTTTAGTGATAGTCAAAGTGCTGCAAAATTGATTTATTCTAATGCTGTAGGTAGAAGATCGAAACACATTAACATCAAATACCATTTTGTGAGAGAACTAGCGGAATCTAAAGAGATTTTCATCACTTATTTGGAAACTAATTCCATGCCAGCTGATGCTCTCACAAAAGGTCTGACAAGACCAAAGTTTGAGTACTGTTTAAGACGTATGGGTATTCAGGGGGCGTGTTAAAAATGAAGGTTGAATACCGATACGTCCAGTCATAGAGAAATGATTTTGGTTGCTATGTTATTGTTTTGTTTATTATTTTTGTTTTTAAAAAAAATTTTCTCTGTCATTAAGGATTATATTATTTTTATTAATAAAATACTTTATACGTTTACTCCACAATCCTTTATTTGCTACATTGTATATTTCCACAAAAACAACAAATACAAACAAACTCGCTACGCGGCTATACAAATTAAGGTAGTAATTATTCTGGTACAAATTTTGATCAATAATATTTTCGTAAATAGGAGAATCTCACAGTTAACTTATAGCCATTTTCGAGTGTTTGATTTCTAATAAGATTTTCTTTTATTATTTAATGAATGATATTTCGAAATGGAATTGATTAAAAATTAGAGCACAGTATACAAAAAGAGAAGCCGCTACGAACTATGCCAATAATTATTCTGGTGTTGTTGTTTATAACAAGTCTTAGATTGATTTATTTTTGCACGTTTAAATAAACTTCTGTCACCATATTTAGTAAACACTTAAATATTTTTTATTACAGTAGTTAAAGCTATGAATGAAATGAAGATCGGTACCCTATTCTATACGTGTGTATACATGCGTATGCGTGTGTTTTTGGACTATGTATGCGAGGTATCCATATGTGTGTGCCTCAAACATTTTGATAACCAAGGATGCCCAAGTAGCACAAAACACCATTATATCAAACTTATAATAGCACGAGTCCAAGCGTTAAGCATTACAATAAAATCGTATATCAACCGTATTTCTTTTAAACGACTCTTATACATAAAATTTGGGCCCCCCTTTATACGACTTTAAGCTTTATAAAAGCTGTGCAATAGCACTACAACTTTTGTATAATAGCATTAATAAAGTCGGGTAAAAGCATTCTAATAGCCACAAAAAGTTCAATTAGCACCTTAAAGTGCTAATTGAACTTTTTGTGACTATATTACAATTGATATGCGTAAATCAAAATTATAATACGTTAATTTAATATTATAAAAATGCTTACTGTTTTATTTCCTTTGTAAAAAAGTATATTTAATAGATTTTAAAAACATATAATCGGTTTAAATTATTGTTTTGTGTAAGTGTCATGACATGTTCTCTTGGCTGGTCTTTTAAGTATTTTTGAATATTGATTTAAACAGCTCGTTTTGTGTGAAATAAGCTGCACACATCAGTTTGTGGAGTAAAATATACAAGTTTATGGTGTAAAATACACGCGCCTTCGCAAACTTCCTTTAATATAATAAAAATAATAAAAAATTTAACCTAGTAGCAAAAATTTTTGTTGAATTTTAGGCTTTTTAGCATTGTTTTAACAACGTAATTGCTTTTATAGGCATCTGTGCACAAAATAAATGATTATTTACCCCTTTTCATCTGACACAGTTGACTTTAAATATTTTGTAAGAATTGGAAAAAGAAAGCAAATGGCGACTCGTAAAATTAAAGCATTAGGTATTCAAATATGGTGTAGTAGAGCTGTTAATCGTATTATGGTTAGACACAAAACTAAGAGCTCGTAATTCACCGTATAACACACTCCCATTTTAGTTACAGCCGTATTTTTACACTTCAGAAGTATCTTATAGTGCTTATAATCATCAAACGATTATTTCATTTTTATTTTGATTTTTAAAAGCTTCAATTAAATTAGAATACTCTTTTTTCAGTTTTCATTTATATCCACCTGTTTTCTTTGTTTTTCCCAACGTTTTTTGTCCATGGCGCCAGCGATGCGTATAAAATGCCACCATTACAATACAATACATAAAATAATTTTACATTTTAATTTCACATAAAAAATAATTACGATCTATTTATTACTTCTATCTCTATAAATAACTTAATATTGATCAAAATATAGCTTAATGTTTTATAAAAGCATAGATTAAGAAGATAAAGGAGCTTGAGCTTGATAAAAGAATACTTTAAGAACAAATCGGTACTAAAGTTTTACTAGTTCTTTATTCAATATGTATATAGGATAAGCATTAAATCGATACAACCATAGACCATTAGAAAACCTTTGTTTCTAGAAAATGACTAAATACAACTAAGTGCACTAAATAGTATTACGTTAATGCTTATATAATATAAAATGTTTTTCATATCACCGAAATACGATAACAGCTTTATATTAATATTACCCAATACTTAAATAGGAGTTTTGACATTGGTATACTTTTTTTATTAACCATAATAAGACATTAAGCATTATTAAATAAAATAAATGCCTTTAAACAGATTCGAAACTTGACCAGAGCTGATTTATTTTAGTTAATATATTATTTATGTGCTACTTGGGTGTGCTCTTCACTTTTACTGCTTCCACCTTTTTTTAGTAAACACTTGAATAATTTGTATAAATAAACTACAGTCATCACATATACATACATAACTACTAGCTGACCCGGCGAACTTCGTACCGCCATATTTTATTTTTCAAAGCGCAACTGAGGAAATAAAACCCTTCCGGTAAAATAAACACTTAAGAAACAATTAATTAGTACATTTTATTAGTTTACATTCACGAGATAAGCGAATAATTGAGATGATAACTATCCTATCCAGTAAGTTAGACCAAAATACGGGTACATGTGAAATTTGATTGAAATCGGTTCAGTAGTTTTGGAGTTTATTGGCAACATAGATCGTGACACAAAATTTGTATATATATAGATAAGATCGGTACACTATTCTATTAGTGGTGTACGTGTGTGTTTGCGTTTACGAGCGTGCATGTAATAGGTGTGAGTGTGCGCACGGTGAACTTTTCGTTAGGTAGTTGATCCGGGCTCTCCTGCATAACATGATTAGTATGCAGGAGAGCCCAGGTTCAGTCGGCCTTTCGTCCAGGTCGACGGCATGTTAAGGTCAGTTCCCCTTGGTATAAAAAAAACAGTAGTGGTTAGTATAATGTCAAATGTAGTACCCTCAATTCCATGCAGAGATAGACTAGGATACCTCCAGCGGTGCATCAACAGCTGTTCCTTCACACCATTTTGTGCTAGTTTATCTGCCCCAATTGACTTCCTATAATAAATATTTTTATTAAAATAAAGTCCTGTAACATTATTAAATTGAAGTATTGTATTAATTTTATGGAAGAAATTATGAAATTACTTTCTTCTGTAAAATTGTCAAACAACATGTGAAAAACAAAATTTAGAATATTTCTAAAATGTGCACAAAACTTATAATGTAAACTACTAAAAAAGGCTAAGTGAAAATACCTATAGGCTTCCGGATCAAAATCAATAGTTGTGTATAATTTTTTCTCATTCTCTGTCAATGGAGCGACTGAATCATAAATACCACTGATCAGAATCTTTCCATCTTTGTCAACCAATTGATCCATCAAATATATTAAATCAGACATAGCTGAAACATGAGTGATATTTATTGTCTGTCACAATGTGATTACATTTTGATCCAAAGAAAAACATTACCTATTTAAAGCACACAATCAATTACTAGTCACCGACAAAAACAATAGCAACATTAAATAAAAAATTTAAGACATATCATATTAACCCAATATAACTGAATTACTATATAGTAATTCAGTTATATTGGGTTAATATGATGTTATTTCAAATACAAGCTAAAGAAATACAATGATACATTGGAAGATAAATTATAAAGTTACTATGTCATAGACCTAAATAAATAATGTAAGTTTCCAAGCTACTTTACAGGGACAAACAAATGTAAATATTATTTATATACTGAAAGAGATTAAATAAACCATAAATCAAACTGATTAATGATAGAAATACAAATTTTGTTTAATACAATTTAAACTAATCAGCAATTGGTAACAACACTTTCAATTCATATATAAAATGAACATTGTACTTTACTGATATCAAAGATAAATTATAATAACATCAGATCTTTTATTTGATTATGATTGAATAGAAAAAACATTAGAATAGATACCTTCATGAACAGTACCACCATAAACCCCACTGTGTAAATCCATTTTGGCACATTCCACTTCAAGAAAATAATAACTAATGCCTCTCAAACCATATGTAATACATGGTTTTGTAGTTCCAAGCCAATAGTTGTCAGATATACACACATAATCTACAGTGTTGAAGAAACCCTCAGGTTTAAGTTGCTCTATAAGCAGCGCATCAAGACCCTCTGAACCAGATTCTTCCATGCATTCAAATACAAATTTCAAATTTACTGGTAACTAAAACAAAATAGAATTTTGCTACCCAAACTTATTTTATCACTAAAATATATTAATATTTCTGTCACCAATTAAGATTTTTAGGGAACTTACCTCTTCTCCAACACCTTTATAAGCATTTATGGCATGGAGCCATCCAAGCACTGGTCCCTTGTCATCTGTGGATCCCCTACCATAAAGTTTACCGTTACGTTCTTGTAGTTCAAATGGTTCAGTCTCCCATCCATCTGATTTCAAAGCAGGCTGTACATCTAAATGTCCATAAATACATATTGTATTCTTTTTTGAATCCTTAAATAATTGATAAAAATTTAATAAACAAGATTCCCCAATAGTTATTAACTATATTATGTTCATAGATATAACATTACATATTCAAATTATAAAAATTTAAGATGTGAAATAAAAGAAAATTGCATGTTAAATTATTTTTTTGAGATTTATTTCATTCCATGAGTATCACCAAAGAAAAGACTAGTATGCCAAATCTACTAGTTTACCGTCGCTGATCCGAACTGCAATGGCCAAGTTATTTACCTACATCAACATGTTATAAACTGATAATCAACTAAGTTTAAAAATGCATCTAAGCTGATAGTATTTTCCAATTAATATTATCTAAATAAACCAGTTTTATAACCATCCCTTTAGTAACAACTAAATGATACTTACATTACCTAAAACACCTACAAGGACGGGAGGCAATTTAACCTCTTTTCCATCAATTGTCTGAAAGCCAACATCTCGTAATTCGGATGTTGCTCCTACTTCTTTCAACTTGTCTTGCATCCAGTGCACCATTCGTATGCAGTCATCCCGATATGTAACATCACACGATACAGATGGAATAGCTACAGCTTCTTTTAAAAGTTTTTTATATGAATCTACATTCTGATCAACAAATTTGAAAATTTGTGGCAATAATTTTTCCGATGCCATTTTCACTTGATCTTTTTTAAGATCTATTGAATATGATTTGTGTTGCGCCTTCAAATTGTTAATAGCTATTGAACTAACTCTGTTCGCCGTCAATCTGAAATGACTGTACCTAAATAAAGTATTAATCAAAGTCATGATCACAGATTAGAATATAATATAAAATGTAATAAAAATAAAGTACACAGGATTCACATACATACCGTCCTGTCCATAACACAGATCCATAACTTCTCAAGCCGGCCAAAGAGTATGGTGAAGCAGGCCTTTTATTTTGACAGTGTCACTTTACGACATTTCTTGTTATAGTCTGTAACCGGTTTATTCAACGTGGTATGGACGTTGGCAGTCTGTTGCAGTCTGTTTTTCATTCTCAGCCAGTAAATTGACACATGCAAAAGACAATCTTTATTAAATCAAAAATCTTTGTTTACCTTATCTGATAATAAACTTATAATTAATTACTGGAGTCCCATTTTAGGCATGACAATGCCTGTACCGAAGACTCCGCTCTTCAATGACATGTTTTTTTTTTCAGAAAAATATTTTTATGGTTTTTTAAATCCATAATTTGATTAACTTGGTAAATTTGTCTTAATAATATCTAATTAAACATTACAAAGATGTGTTTGTGTGTTAAAAATAATGATACCAGCTCTTTTTGAGCAGCGTTTACCTAAAACAATAATCTTATAATAAAATGTATTGTTCATGATTAAAAGACACTTTTGAGATCTGTCACAGAGTTGCCACCTGTCCCGATTTTGTCGGGACAGTCCCGATTTCGAAGACATTGTCCCGCGTCCCGACAGCCTATCGATTTTGTCCCGATTTTTGATAATACTATAATGTGATCTCAGCTCACTCGGTTGCGTGCCATCTACCGCATGTACCGCGTTCGCCTTTGTAAAGCCGCAAAGGAGCAAAAGTTAAACGCATTATTTAATGTTGTATCTCGTGCTTTGAGGATTCCTCCTTCAAATGCATATTTTGAGCGAGTATTTTCACTAATGACCATGAAATGGTCTAATATCAGAAATCGTTGCTCGGTAGATTTAATAAAAGCAGAATTGCTAATTTCGCTCAACATAGGCATATCTTGTTCAGAATTTGTGAACAAATATAAAAATGACGTAGAACTATTGAAAGCGGCCCGAAGCAATAAAAAATACACACGGAAATAGTTTAATGTTTAGTTTAATAGTTTAGTTTTGTTCTTTTTTTAACTTTTAAGTTTTGAAGTTGGTTCTTGTTTAAATTAAAAAATATATATATTTCATTCTTTTTGTGTTATGTCAGATCGTGATTAGCTAGACAGGGATGGCGAACTAATGGCACACGTGCCATTGGTGGCATGTGGCAAAATATTTTGGGTACAATCATGAAATTCAATGTACAATTAGAAAAAAAAATACCTTTTTTGTAGTAAATAAAAGAGTTATTGGATGGCAATATTTGATGGAACGTATATGACCTCATTAAACATTTTTGTAGAAAAATGGCACGTTGATGTATAAAGATTAGCTCAAAGCTAGACTAAATGGCCGATTAGGATGGTCTTAAACTAAGAATCTCCTTTTTTGAAGTCGGTTAAAAATAAATACACATTAGATCACAAACTAGTTTTATTTTCTGTAGTCCGTCTCATGGGTTATATTTGATTGGACCATGACTAGACCAAACTTCGAACTAATCCAAACGTCTCTGATGACTACTTGATTGTCCCGATTTTTATTCCCGAAAAGGTGGCAACCCTGATCTGTCATTCTTCACTTAATCTCACTATTAAATGGCGCCTAAATTTTCGTTAAAATTAAATGAATTTAATGAGTTATAGTCCTAAAAACAAAGTTCAATAGAAATCAGTTGGTTATTTTTCATTATTATTGATATCAATTAAGTAATTATTATTATAAACTAGCTTAGCCAATGTCACCCACCTATATAGAAGCTTCCCGTTGGTGAATGATTTTTTTTAAATCGGTTCAATAGTTTCTAAGCCTTTTCGATACAAAAATAGTGACATAAAGACTGAGGATGAATCATAACCTCACCCTCAGTCGTAATGTCCCCACTACATGGAGAATAGGCCATCCAATATTTTAGTAATTAAATTCCTACTTAGTCATTTTGTTTTTATAAAAAAATATTAATTCAATTTCGACAGTTGACCGAGCAATCACAATGTATATGTAAAAGTACGGGTGTTATAGTTATAGAGTGGTCAGTCTGTCCGTGGCACTCATAGCTCCTGAATGAACGAACCGATTTGAATGCGATTTTTAATTAATAAAGCCTTATTTACTGCAGCGGTTCTTAGCTATATTTTAAGAAAACAGATTAGCAGTTTAAAGTCTAAGATCCGAACCTAAATCGACCTTCACCGGGTTGATAATGGAATAAAACTTATTATATAATTAATTTAGTATATGAGAAAATATATTAAAAATGGGTTCGCTAAAAAAATCCTGGACAGAATATTTTTAATTATTTTTAAAAAAATATTTTTTTATTAAATGTTGCAACATCAAGATAATAAGAAAAATTTAATTCTGACTTAAAGTATAAAACATATAGAATGTGCAGACGTTGGGTTGTCTATTATTTACCTGGACGAACTACTGGGTTGTCAGGTATAAACAGGTATATCGATGCCAGTTAATTTCACTTGATTTTATAATAAAAAAAAAAATTATATCAACATAAGCGCTGTTTCATTACGAACACATTGATATTCACAAAAATTCGGTCCTAATACGGGTTTGCGAATTTTAAAAATTAAAATTTTAACGCGTGGGAAAATGAGTGACAGAGAGATCCGAGGAAAGTTATTCTTAGTCTAGTTATTCTTATTATAATGAGTAGATCAACTTGATTATTTTTTTATAATCAATAGCCCTCTTTGCTAAGATCATTTTCATTATATATTTTTTATTGATAGAAATTTGAAAGTATAATATAACAAAAATTTAAAACCTGACTCAAAAAATCACTGAAGAGTATAAAAATAATCTTAAAAATACAAATAACTACAGAACGGACCCTCGACTGCAATAATAATTTTCTTTTACCGATCTTAATTTCATTTGAAAGATTATTCTTATTCTTTTTACGAGTTAAATTTTATAAGAATAAATATGTACTAATTTGCAAATGACCATTTCTTAAATATAAAAAAATATATATATATTTCGCGATTTTTTTAGTAATTTAGGGCGTCCGTCTGAGCCGCGCGGGTACCTTACTCCCGCACGCGCACCCCCGCTTTGGTGACGCCACCTATGCAACGGGCCGTGCAGCAGAAATCGTAATATTTTAATTACGCCATAACTTCAAATACAAACGTCCAATTTTAATCAAATAATATTATTTAGTATTATTTTGATAAGGATTAATAGCATGAGTAAAATAAACGCGTTTTAATGTAGTCCAAAAAAATTCAAGATTTTTAAATAAAAAAATGGTTCTGGATTAGTATATTGTGTTGGGGACTTTTTTGTAGATATTTATAAGTTCTACAATTCATTAGAACATATCTAACTTTTATAGTTTAGACAGCGTACGCAAAATAAGTTACTTTTCTGGTTGATTTTTTATATCTTGTGTCCGAATCACCCAAATATCTTACGGAACCCTATTTTTTCCAAGATAAAATATAGCGTATGTTACTCGTGGATAATGTAGCTTTCAAATGGTAAAAGAATTTTTTAAATCGGTCCAGTAGTGTATTTGGGGATAATTCAGATCATGTTTGTTTAAATTAATTAGAACCTTAAAAATGCAGTACCTACCTTAATACAAGTACCTAAATTCCTTAAATAGAAGTTAAAACTTCTTTTTAGTTAAGAATTTGGGGATAATTCAGATTATGTTTAGGATTATGACACTTGAATACCAATAGAAACCACATGTATTATACTTATTCCACAGCACAGCATCCCCATGTGTTAGAAGGAGACAAAGGTTTGAAACTAGAAAATTTTCTTTCCGTCGCGAGGCAGGGAATGCGCCACACGGGCATCCATAGACGCGCGCTCTGCATCCGCGCCGATCTAGTTTCCGCGATCGCGACTGGGCTGGGGACGTAGGTAATTGTTCCTAGAGAACATCTTTTTTCTGTATTAAGATGATTAGTAGGAACAACTGAATGTTACAAAAAGGTTGACAGATTTCAGATTTCAAAAATTAGGAAATGAAGTGCCAGATGTATTAATTAATGTAAATTAAACATGTAATTTAAAGTTGGTGAAGTGTTAGTAGGTCTAGAGTATAACGCTTTTGGAATTTTGTCTTATCATTTGCATTATAATTATAATGGAAGTAAGTACTTATTTAAAATTCAAATATATTCATTACGCAAAAATAGGCAAGCTAAATAAAGTCTTTTTTCAAAATAAAAACTTGGGGCGCGTGATAATAAAAATAGAATCGAACTCACGACCTCTGCTAAGTGCATAATATATACCTATTTAATATTCTACAAAGAATACTTACGTATAACTTATAATCTAGTACAGTGGTTTCTAACCTTAGGATAATTATCTCTGTAGTAGCGCTTTACACCGCAAGGAAACCTAACATAAAACTGTTAAATTCATAACATTACCTAATATTTTTATTTAATTCATTGCTTATAATAATATGTCTAATATATAATAATAATACAACTGTAAGATTACGTGAATGTAAAATTTGTGTTTAATTTGGATGGGGATTTGTATCAGTAGGGGACATAGGGTAACAATGTTGAATTGGTTAGGAACCATTGATATCGAGGATCTATAAAGTTACATAATGTGATTAAAAATTTATTTTATAGAACCTGGACCAGAAACACTTCACCAATAATTTGACCGAAGCTATGAATGGACATCCGATCAACTCAGACACAGGTACAACAGAAAAGCATGAAAATAGACTTAAAAATAATATACACAATTACCAGATCTTCTCCGATTGCAGCTATTTGAAAAATCTCAATAATTTAAACGATTTTCGTCCTGTATTAGATCCTTTACAATATCTGCAAGAACAAATTATCACAGATTATAATGATAACAATTATATCATGAATCATTTCGAAGACGACATATGGAATGGACTCATTTTAAGGGTTTATTTCCAACAAATATTCTCTGTACCTTTGTACTCAAAATACAGAGACAATGAAAACGTATTAGTACCTAAAGTTTTCAAATGGAATAACATTTTCAACTATTATGCAATAGAAAAAATGTTTCTATTGTTTGTATCTGCCAAAGTAATTGGTAGCGTTTCGAAGTGCCTCGACTGTGAAGTTGCTAATACTAAACGCAATATACCAGCATCAACACCCGAATCCAATATTTATATATTAACGATTGATGTACCTGATTTCCGAGAAGCTTTTGACTGTTTTCAAGAAAATGAAAATGTAATAAAAATAATAGAGCAACAAAGCCTTCAAAATACTGTCAATCAAAAGTTTAATCAACCAATCGCATTAGACATAGAAACATTAGATAATTACAGTTTATACGAATTCTCATTTTGTTATTTCAAGAAAGGAAAAGACATTATATTTATAGAAAACTCACTAATAAAATTTCTTCAAATTCTCTTAGATTTTGCACCAAGTAAAAAATATAAAGTCATAAGCAACTCAGATGAAAGAACAGTTTCACCAATCCACAATAATTGGTTCATCCAAGATTTTCTTCATGGTTTTCTATTGGCAAGTTTACAGAGAAGATGTAAAATTAACACCTTGTACTACATCAGTAAACGGTATTTCGTTATTATTAATAGACATATTTCCAAAGTCATAATAGAGGTTAAAATGTTTAAATTAAATATATTTAACATTTACAATAATAATTTATATCAGAAAATCTGTAATTTGAAATCAGACGCTAAGACAACTTACGACGCGAGAATTGCAATTTATAATGATATTTCTATAAAAGAAGTGATTTCTATATCTTTTATTTTGAATGTGTATAATTCCAAACTTATAAGTCCTCTTGTGGTTAAAATAAATTCCATAAACGGATATCAACCAATGCATAATGATGAAAACACCAAAGTAAACGAAGTATTCTCTAATTGCGAAACATGCGAAAAGAGAGAGTTTCTTTTGAAAAGTGAATCAGACTCTGAACGTATGAAAACTGCTGAAGTTGAACAAATAGTGAGCGAAATAAGAACTTTAACGCTCTGCGAATCAATTAAGAGTATCAAATCGGAAAACCTTATATATGAAACAAAATCTTTAAGTGATTCCGCATCTATAAATACAGTTGGAACTGACGAATTTTTACATGGAAGCATATCAATATCTCCTTGTGAATCAATAAAGACATTAGAGTCCGACGATCATATAGAGGAACTGAAACTTATATCAGAAATAGAATCGTTAAAAAACATTCTTTCAAAAAGTAGCACATTTTCACTACCAAAAATTAACGAATCTATGTGTTTGAAATGTGTCAATAATAGCGAAACTGATAAAATTTACTCCAAGACTCAACGCCGAAAATCAGATAGCGATAAACTGATCGACAATATTTATAAAAAGAATGTAACTATTTATAATGATAATTATTTACACAGTAAATATTGGTTGAAAAAACTCTTTAAAGGACCTGAAAATAATAAACAAGTTGAAAATCAGAATGGACTTCTTTGTTGCAGGCAAACAGAAGAGAGAATCATCAACAAACTATACAGAAATGTTATTTCTTTGAAAAATGATATGTTTCATAAGTATCAACAAAACTATTCACAAACACTCAGCGATTTTTATGGGAAAAATCAATTAACGCTTCGTTCCCAGTATGGTTCATTTTGTAAATATCTTGGCCAGTCATTGGTCCAAATATTCTGCAACGTAATTCTCTAATAAATTAATTTAAACCTTTAGGTATACCATTGTTTTCGATAACTTTTATTATTTAAAAAAAATGCTTCACTACATTCCATAATGACAGAGTTTAAAAAATACCTAGCCAACTATAGTGTTTGTCTCACGAAAGTAGTCCCTCGGATCACGATGTTTTTATTACTAAGGAATAAGAGTTATGCCGCGGGAATTCTTTCGTGAGAAAGACTTCACTTCCACTCCGTGTGTACCTAACACGGTTGTACGTCACAATATGTCAAATTTTCACAACTGATATCAATATCTAACTGATCGATAGGATCCGCATGCTAATGCCGGTAGGTTTTTTTATGCATAGCATACAAGAAGATTAAAATCTTCAGCTTCAAACGCATCAGAAGCATCGTTCCACTATCACTTCATTCTGCTTATTTTCATTGATCTATAAGTTGGTCGATATCTTCGGATTTCACAAAAATTCGTACATTGGAACGCGCAAGGTAATGTCCACACAAACCACCTATGGAGCGCGGTCTTACCGCGCGCTAATCGATGAGTGTTGGAGCGTCGTCGTTTGAAAATCGCTTCGAGTAATATAACCTATGCGCCTATTAGCGTAGCCGTGACTTATGTTGCGCAAAAACTGGACCAACTTATGGCCAACAAATAAGCTACATTGGTCCTTATAGCTATAAGGGCTAAAGCCAAAGATCAATCAATCCTATTCGTTGGCATTTGTCACCAACGCCTACTACGCTTCATTGTTTCTTATAGAAAAAATATAAGGACCAATAAAACCTATTCGTTAGCTGATTATTAGTTCTGCAAGCGCAGTTGCGTATAAAATTTAATTTAATTTTAAGGGTTTCGTTCCTGGTGTACCACTTAGAAATTTTTTAATGGGTATACCTGGTTCACAGTATGTCCCCGCATGCTGTATAATGATCAAAGCATGTATTATTCCATAAACATCTCATGCGCCACTTTTTAAAGTTTTTCTTGTATTTATTTGCGAAACAAAGGTGTCGAGCGACGTGAAACTCGACTTCTCAGCAGATGTAAAAAAATTAACAAAATAAAAATCGAAACATGAAAGGTCTACCAGTACCAGTACCAGTACCGAAAGGTAAAAACGGAAGCTTTATAGTATCAAAAAAAAATCTGTTTGTCCGCATGTCACAGTTGATTTTCTCTCGAAACTACTGGATCGATTGAATTACATAGTTATATGAAATTGTAAGTCTGAAGACGGCCATATAACGTCATAAATTAATATAAATATAAAACAATATGCTTTATAACATAAAACATAGTCGCTAGTAGTTTCAAAAATACTTAATAAACGCAAGGGCTTATCTTAACCACAGAATACAGAAAAGCGATCATGCATCCTTTGTACGAAAACCAATGTCGCCAGTCTTGCCCCACTTTTCGTCCGCCATATATCAGACCAAATATTAGACCAATTACACTTGCATTTAAACGTGCCAATCAGAACGCTCTAATATAACTATAACCAATCTCACTCAAGCGTAGCAGACATCTAGAGTGCGTAAGAAACGTGTAAAAAACCTTTTTAATTTGACATATTACACTAGTGATTGACATAAAAAGATTTACTATCGATATTGAAAAAAAAACAAGACAATTAATTGATTGGATACTCGAGTAATGAATTCTTTATATTATTTTGGATATACACTGAAATGTATTGATTAAATGTGATATTGTCTTTAGATTATTAATATTAAAAAAAATATATATATATATATATATATGCTTGTTAATTAGTTGGTTGATTCAGTTAGAAATATTTAAATCACTCCCTAATACATAATGAACTAACATCGAATCGATACTAGACGTGCTTAAATAATTATTTGCATATGTTTGTTAGTTTATTTATAAATTATAATAATATAAAGTAATTTTTTTACGTTACGTTACTCAATTTCGTTTCAAGTAAACAGATAAGATCGCTAACATCGCTTAAATGAAAGGAGTAATATTGACAAACAATATAATGTAAATATATGTATACAAAATACAATTAGAACAATAAATGCTATTGGAACTTACCCCGAACGGTTTCCGACGATTTATAAAGTATTGTTGTAAATGGTTAAAATAAAAAAAAAAATCTATGTTTCGGTACAGTATAAGGAATATAAAAACATTCTTTCGCTACACCATATTCATTATTAAACTAATATACAAATGCATACCAAACGAAGTCAATATGGTAGTCTAGGATAGGGTTATATTTTATTTATTGCTATTGATAATCTCTACTTAAATTTATCTTTTATTAACACTATTTTTATTGTCCTTTTATTTTGTTTTTACTAATACAAAAATAATCTATTAAATGTTTCCATGGCACTTCACTAGCTATCTACTTTACATCACGTGCTTAGTACGACGCGACGCAATCAATGTAACAAATATGCGTACTTCTCCAGTAATGTATGTTTTCTTGGAAATATTTTTCATGATTCACACTTTTGATAACATTTCACAATTTCGACTAAAAAGTCTAAATTTGAGAAGGGTTCTACTTAGTAATGAAAAGAAATTTGAACCTATTTGAGTATTGACTTCTTGTTTTGCTATTAATAACCGCGCGAACGGCATTTTTAACACTTGGTGGCGTATTTCAAAGTATTCACGTATGTTCGTAAATGACTAAACATCGCGATCGCATTAATAATTCAAGAAAATGAACTAAAATGATCAATACCACCGGATCTCAGAAACTACTCTCCAAAAAATCTCTCATAGTTACCAAAACAACCTTAAAGACCTTTGATTATTGTACTCGTAATAATCAAAGAATACTTTTCAACGAATCTTACCATTAGACTCGATTCGAATATAGTGTTCGTAATATTTGATATTAAGGAATATTTGCAATACATTATATACTGTAAATGATCCTTAATTTCAAAGTAGTTAACTGGTTAAAGAAAATATAGTGTCCTCCACAGTGTCCTCCTTAGGATACGCATCATGGGACTAATGCAAGAAAAGGAAAAAAATAAGTGGGTATTAAATTAATTTCATTGTAACGGTGTGCTTGCAGTTATATCGATAAATCTTTTGTCAAACAGTCTATAAATTACAGCACAGTGTAAATACGTAAAAGATGAATAAAACATTCAAATAGTTTCCCATTATTTTATTTAAAAAAAAAACTACCTACTGTATTAACATTGGAAAGTAATACAACGTGTCATGTCTTTTGTTTCCATTAATAAATAATATTAAGTCAGAATATTATTGCCTTCAATTACATTACTAAACCTTAAGCGTCATTCTGTAACACAACATGCAAAGTTAATTGCATAATACTTAATAATTTTGTACACCTGAATAACATGTGTGGTCAAACAAATGTGTGTGGTGGAACATGAATAACATGTGTGTGGTGGAACTCAACAACCTATCCCTAGGAGCAAGCAGGACCGGATCTAAGGAGAGGGTGGCGTATTAGTTTTATGCAACAGGAACGGTTCTTGTTGATTTAATAATTTCTAATAATAATATGAAGAAGGATTTGATTGTTTGTTTGTTTGCATTGATAAGGCTCCGAAACAACTGGACCGATTTTAAAAATTCTTTCAGCTACATCATTGGTGGTTAACATAGGCTAATTTACGCGTGCAAAGTCGTGGAAAAACAGCTTGTCTTTTTTACGAGATTGATTATGAGCCGTATATATTATTATCAGTCATTAGGTAGATAATTCAAGGTTACACCTATTTTACGCAAATTATAAAAATGAATAATATTTTTTTAAGCGAGCAAGAAAAATTCACCAGTCCTATTAGGTCTAAGGTTGTGGTTAGAGCAGTCACCCGGATTGCGAAAGTTCGTGGGTTCGTGTCCCATATTACAGTACACAGACTGGAGATTATATAAACTACGGACTGGAGATTATATAAACAAAATTTCCAGGATAAACTTAAGGACATACTTAAATCTATACGAACATGTGAAGCGCTAGAATACAGTTGATCAAATAACCGAAGCCATGAAAACTCAGTAAACTGAGGCAAGAAACGCGTAAACTATTCAATAAGGCAAAAACGACCAGAAACTGGGACCGATATTCTAATGCCCTAACCACGTACAACAAAGAAATAAGAACAGCAAAAAGAATATCGTGGAGAAAGTTCTGCGAGGAAATTAACAAAATACCTTAAGTTCCTCAGTTCCTCAGGGAACTGCATAGCCCCTTTTAACAACAAATAATAATAAATAATTATAGTACCAGGGACTGGTGGATTTTATAAGCATTACCCATTAACAATATTTAATTGCTGATTAATGATCGTCCTATACCATATTTATTTAGTAACTTATCATCTTTCAAATTATTCTGAATCACGACGAGATTCGATACAAATAAATAAAGTAAAATCAAGGCTAAAAGTAAAAGAGCACTTGAGATTACATGATATTCTTTTCGATCAATCCCGGTATATGTCTTAACTAATATTATAAAGAAAAAATATTTGATTGTTTATTTGTCTGCATAGAATAGGCAACGAACTACCGGACCTATTTTAAAAATTCTGTCACCTACGGGAAGCTTCATTATACATAGGCTGAAACATACGTGGACGAAAACAGCTGATACTCAATAATTTTCCTGTGGTAGGTTTGAAGGATTAATGAAAAAGGCAAATCTATCTTTATACATGAAGATGGCATTCAGTCCTTATAAATTACAGTGATAAATAATTCAAGTACTCACTTAACGCTGACATGTTTTTCACATAACCGTAATTACAATTTCACAGTTTTTAGATTACAAATGATTAATAATAAGCAGTTTACAGAAAAATAAGGCATTGACAACATATACCGCGCGTTCCATCAAAATTTTCATAAGTTTAAAGCGACATCACCGATCCAAATATTAAAATTTAGAACATTAATTAGAGTTTAAAGCCATCATTAAAACTTAATGAGCGTTAATGAACCGAACGGGGAACGATTCCACCTATTCCATATCGAAATCGCAGATAGATGGTACTTTGATAATACACCCTTCGATAATTTTAAATGCATAATGCTTTTATGTTTAAATCAAAAATAAATTTTAATGTTTTCTACATCTCATGGTCATAATGATCATGAGTGAAAGCATTTCAAAAACCATACATTAGCAAGTATAATAAGAATCCGAAATGAAGTCTTGTCGTAATAAATTAGTTACCGATATAATTTACATTAAATTTTTATCTAAATCTTTGCCTATATTATCTAAAACAAGTTGATTAATACTGAAAAAAATTAATTATTACAAAAAGGAATGATCACAATTAATCATTTAATTACATCTCACACAGCCAATCTTGAATTGTTCATTTTTGTTATCTTCAACAGTTCACCGTCCTCAGTATCCTGCAAAAAAAAATTATAACAATAAACTGAAGTCGATGTTTTTATTAAGCAACATTCGCAAGACTTGGTTAAGGGGTGACCATAAAATAATTATCTCAAGCTACTCCGTGTTTTGGAAGGCACGTCCAATCTGCATTGGGCCAGCGTGGAGGATCACCCATCCTCCTTAACTATCCATAAAGAAGACATGAGACCCTGTAGTGCGGACTGATGATGATGAAACGGAAGTAAGACATTTTAAATATATTGATAGTAAAGTTAACACCCACTAAGAAACGCTGCCCTAGACAGTTCCGTAACCGATCAACAGATCGGAACGTCACGCCCATTGTTGTATACAAAGAAAATACGTTGTTAATAGGCCAGTTGACTATTATAAATAAATAGTCCATTCATATCGGAAAAATACCCTTGGTACTGTAGTGAAAAACATATGGGCGTCTGGGCAATCTTTGGCCTCATCATGCCACTAGATGGCGCTAGTGTTAAAATTTGATGTTTTAAGTTATCGGAATAAATATGGTTTAGAGTTTTGTATATCATTATGTCTCCGCAATGACAAGTTATTTGCTGGTCAGGCTTCCCTTCCATTAAATTTCAGCCTTCGCCACGGAAATACAAGAATCGTTTGTTTCATGCATTCAATTCAAATTCAAAATTAAAGTGAACTTTCACTATTTAGTAGAAATAAAAATAAACTAAGCTAAATACTGGATTTTGGCAAATTCCAAAGGGATACGCCAATAATAGGGATGATGACTGAGAAAAATTAAAATCTATTTAGTCCGTTTATATATTTTAACAAGAAATGGTTTAGATAAAAGGCATTAAAATCGAGGCGTGGCGGTTCGCTACGTCACATCTCCTTAGAAAATGTACAAAAGCGTGACGTTATGCGATATTTCAAATTAATGTGTGATAAATTGAGTAATTTTTTGAATACGCAAAAAAAGTGTTTAATATTCTTCAACAATCTACATGATGGACAATCATACAAAAAACAATCATTAGTCATATTAAAATATAAAAATCGTTTATTACATGCTTGATAGAGTTCATTATTACATGCTTAATAAAGTCATGGTATATCAAGGTCAGTGTACTCAAAAGAGGCCGTCCATAAATTACGTCCATGATTTCACTTCATGATGATCCACAAACTTCATGATTTTTCACCCCCCCCCCCTCCTCCCCCCCTCCTAACGTGTGACGTAATTTATGAATGGCCCCAAAAGGTTCTTTGTATTAAAAAAACACTCACCCAGTAGCCGCGTCTCCTGACACCAACGAACCGGTGGGCGTATCAACAAATATATATCTCGCTCTAGTACGCAGCCAGTACGTGACGACGGCGGCCATTACTGTGACCAGCGCGCCCGCTATGCCCGCCGCCCGCGCCCCTCCCCCACCCGCCGAAACGAACACGCGCACCCATAACTCACGCCACACGGACTCGGTCCAAGTGGAGAACTCGCCGGATGTGAAATCGTAATCTGGCAAAAATTGCAGTAACGCAAGTGACAGTGTAGGTACTTTGAAAATCATTTTTGATAAATCTAAGTATGAGCAGTGGGCTAGTTGTATGTTTAATGTCTATCACAATCCCTCTCAAAGTACAGCGATTTATGGAATTATATAACGTTTAAAGTTACAATCGCTTTTATTGATCAAGGACCATAATAAAAACTTAGTAACTTAAAGTAATATTTGCGTCCTTGGACAATTCAAAGATTTTTTCAAAAAGAAATTGGGATCGCAATCGCTATCAAATGTCAAGTAGTTGTAGCGTGAGGATCGTGAATACCTTTCAAATGTCAAACTGAAGGGGATTGTGGTAGATTTTAAAATTGGACAATTAGGGCTCTGGATAAACGATGAAGTAGTCCATGATATATAAAATAACAATAATAAGAGTACAGAACCAGGTTTCGAAATACTCATCTTATCGAAAAGAATCAACTTTAGATATTCACCAGTTAGCCCGAGATGGGATTACATTTCCGAACGGGTCTCGAACCTGGGACTATAACTTTCACATAAGAAATAATGTAGAAGTAACAGCATGTCTGCGATTAATAGCGCTGTTTGTGGAAATGCTGCTAGTCGACCAAATACGCTCTTTAAAAATTCAAGCCACGAAGTGACGTCACACCGTGCTACAATAGCGAAAAACGTATGGACGTCTGGGCAACCTTCTTAATATTTTTGTTATTTATGTAGTTATTATATTTATAGTTGTTGTAGTAAAAGTTGTTTTATTTTATGTAACTAATTTAATACCATATGCATTTTAGCAACTATATTTAATATGTATTCCCTACTTTATATAAATTTTCAAAGCATAACATTTTCCAAATTTATTTGTTAAATATTTATAGTTAAAATTACTCCCATTTTCAGAATATATAACATATCACAGAACCTGTATTTTCACATGTAGAACAAATCTTAATTACAGTTTACTTAGGCGTAATTCTTTGTATAAAACCAATTGAAAGTTAGTAATAAACTGAATGCAATGATAAGAGTCTCACTTGATATTGTAAACGCGGGACTGATGGCCTGACTGAAATTCATCGTAGTCTGGATGCAAACGCCGCTGTGATTCCAACCCCTTAGCCAATAATACGAGTATTGCTGAAACATTAAATTAAAATATAAACAATCTATAAATCAATTGTTTAATAAATGTTAATCTCTTAATTGAAACTATTAGAAGGTTACTCTTCGTTATGGTTTCTATATTTAACACAAATGAAAATGTCTGCATACAAATTCATTTTCATTTTATTTCTTAAATCTTCTATTTCATATTTTAATATTACTTATGCGCTATATTTTTATAGAGTGACAGAAACAAAGCAGTGTTGCCTTAGACAGTAAACGAAAATTAATGCATTTTTTTCTCTTATGGTGATAAAATATACTATTACCGATAATCACACTTTTATGCTTATTATATTTATCTAATAATATTAAATCAAATATTCTATACTCGTTGTCACGTGAACGCAAACAGCACGTGTTTTTGTTTTGATAAATTATAATAAGAATAGAATTTAGTTCTTTAAGATGAACACTTTTTATTTTAATAGTTATTAAATCATTTCAGTTAGTCAAATAGTCATAAATTTGTTTAATAGATAGCTTAAATTACAACAGTTATGTATAGCAGCTGATATTTAAGTGGATATGTAGCAAATTCGAAAACCGTCAGTCTTAAGAGTAACATGATTATTGATATTTTGTCAGAAAGTATACCATAAAAAGAACCTTATTTAACTTCTGTCTAATGCCATAATTAATGGAGTATATTTAAATGATAGAAAATTACACCATTTTTAATTCAAGAATAACTGTGGCCGTTTTTTTATATTTGTCTTCTTCGAGTATAGGACAATAAAAACTAAAATATTATAATTTATCGACAATAATATTAATTATAAAAGACTCAATTAATTGGTGGTAATAGTGATTTTTCATAAAAAGCGGCACAGAGAGTTTACGCAATGTTGCCTATGTCTATGGTTTATTTTTAAAATAACGTCTAAATTTTCTCAATCATTGACTATTAGGAGGAACCAAGAAGTTTATATATTCTACATTCAAATTTCTTATAAACTAGTTATTTATAATATAAAAAAAATATCACTCACGACTTTATCCATCGCCTCGCACTGCGTCCGATTGGCTTTGAGATGCGTTCCAGTAAGCAATGCCAGTAGATGTCCAGCAAACACTGGTGCGGTACCAGGCCACGCAGCCACACCCACATATAAAGGTGCAGGTTTCTCTGGCAAGTTTTCTTCACCACTACCACTTTTTGCGTAATCAGCAGCCAATAGCAACCTGCACGCTTGGCTCTTTAAGAAGCAGTATAGCATTTCGTCTACCTGCAAACGAAATAAGTACATTTACTTTTATATGTTGTCTCAGATTTGGCTGTTATGGTGTCAGATGAATGAATTAATGAATGAACACTTTATTGTACTTGAAAAGAAAAATCAACATAACAATTACTAACAATAAACAGTACAATCGGCGGCCTTATTGTTAAAAAGCAATATCTTCCAGGCAACCAAAAGTTAGACTGGACAGAGACATAAAAAAAATGGGTAGTAAATGGTGTCCTACACAGTTGAAATAAAAAAATTCCATACTAATATATACACAAGAGCTTTTATATCGTATATGTTATCTAATACATATTTATTTTTGCAATTACGTTAAAAATACGCATAAGTGCAAGCACTAATTTAACGGTACTTTTATGCATTCATTAACCATAGTAACATAATAAAACCTATCTCTCATATAATAATTTAATTTACCAAATGAGCAGAAGCTGTAACATTGCCAGTATACGATTCACCCACTACTCTTTTATACAATGTACGAGCCACTGCAGTCGCGAGCCGAGATATCTTTACTTGAGAATCCGTTCTCTTCATAGTACCATTTGCGATGAGATCTTTTGTTGAAATGACTGAAAAAGATTCAATTCGGAATTTAAGAAAAATTCTTAATAATTACTGAGAAATAAACAATTATAAAAAGCTAGTACTTACAAGTGCCATCATTTCCTATACTTATATTATGATAATCAAAACCAATCTTAGAATATTCATCCAATGCAGAATTATAGTACATGTTGGTATAATGATCGTTGTGGTCTACCAACACCATTTGGGGCATCACATTATCCAAATTAACATCAGCCAATGAATGATTCTTCCCATATTTTTCTTCCTGAATATCCTGTAAGGTTCGTCTGAAAGAGTGAAGGGACGAAGGAGGCAGATTATGCGTTGAGGTAAGTTGTAGGCTCATGTTAAAGAGCTTCAGATTTACATTCATATCGTTGACTATGTCCGAAACCTGCAGTAAAAGGGTAATTATTAGAAATTAACAAAGAATTAAGTAAAAAAATATTAATAAATGAGAGAGGGGCTCACTATCCGTCATTTATACATACGACATTATCTATTTTCATATACTTAAAAATATGTACATATTTTGCATTACGTAGATGGTTTTGGATATAAATTTTAAGACAGATTCTCTGGATATTTTCGTTTTCGATTGCCCTATTACACGATGTATAAGCTATAACGAGCAAAACCTTTGTTTTTTATTCATAACCCTTTACGCGAATCGTCTCTTTGTGTACCTATATATGAAAGAAAGTATCAAGAATAATCTTATAAGGCTTATTATCCTTGACGTTAAGCTTAAAATTTCTTCTAAGTTAAGATGCATCACAGTTGTAATATACTTACCACATCTAGATTATTAGCTCCGATAGGAGCGAATATATTCAATGGCCAATCGTCATCTTCCATATGCGTCAAGAGCGACCCACCTATTTGCCCGAGCTCTAGGTACAAAACAACGTCATCAAATCCAAGAGGCGCAACTGAAGGCCATTCCCCGTGTCTCATATCATAAGCGACCTTCTGTGAGCCAATATAGTCAAAAGTTTCGCCATTGAATAGCGTCCAAAGAACATTTTTATCTGTAAAAGTTGCATACTAATATATATTGTTGACATAATTTACTGATTTTAACAAGTACACATCTAATTTCGAAGTTAATCTTCAATAAATAATATCCTTTAAAATGGAGCGGAGAAAAAAAATTGAGATCTAAATGAAGATTACAGATAATAGAATTAATATAACGATATATTTGGTAATTTAAATCATCCATTTACTATAGCGTTAAGTAGGTATTTATCTGTATATATACTGAATAACGTATATTCATGAATACCTACTTAAAGAAACAAATGTGATGGGTAAATAGTCTTTAATTGAATAATATAAAAATAAAAAATCACCGTAAGTCTTTCCAGCGGGTATCATCTGTGAGAGAGTAGCTGCTGCAGTAATAAGAGTCACCATCCCCACTGCCGAACTCGCCGCACCCGGCGACATACCTATTGTATCCAAATATAATGTGTAAAAAATATTACGCATAAAAGCATTGTTAAAACAAACCAATCATTGTTCTACAAATTACTCCATATAGTTATATTGAACTGAGTTGAATTATTTTTCCAAAACAAACTATTTATTTTTTTAATTAAATACATACCATCAAATAGAGATGCTGAGTCTATTCTAGCAGTGACCATGACCACTTGCTTTTTCGTATCCTAAAACAATGTATATCATTAAATCTACCGATATATTTTATGGCAAATTAAGTTGATCAAAATAATGCAAACCTTGCTCAGAGGTAGCAGTGAATAGTAAACATTATGGTCTCCCAAAGGATCACAAACTTTGGCAGAAGTGATCAGAGCAGAGCTGGCGGATCTGAAAAGATTTTATAGATATATATAGAATAAAACAAAGTTGCTTCTTTCTATCTACACGGTGAGATCTTTTAATCTACGTAATTGATTTTACTGTGATTTTCATCAATAAAACTGATTGATTCGAGAAGAAGGTTTATTATGTATAAATACATGAACACGCGGGCGAAACCACTGGCGGGAAGTTAGTAAATAATAATTAAATTATATGCTACTTAAAAGTAGCAACTCATTCTACTAACCTTCTCATACATACTGTGCTGTCTACTGCTGCAAACATGAAGGAATGCATCTGGACTGAACATAAAGGTCTTCCATTTTGATTATCTATGTCTCGGTTAAACCTATGAAAAAGGAACTTATCTATTAATGTCTTTCATTTAAAAATTTTTTCGGAACTCTTATTATACAAACATGAATTTTCTTCTAGCAACAACCATGACCATGACACAGTACAAAACATATGTACAATGAAAGTAGCAGGTGAGCTCATGTGATTTTCTGGCGACGTTTGGTAAACATGGCAATTATTAAGGATGGCAGAATTGAAGATAGCTGCCCAAATTACTCTTCAGAAAAATGTAATAAAAAAGTAACATGCATAGCAACTCAAAAAATATATTTTAGAAAATTTATCTTTAATAATTGGACTTCTATATACTTATTCAGTAGCCCCAAAGGCCTACTAGAGCCTTAACATAATTTGATATATATTCTATATTTATTGGTATAAGTGTAAATAGAGGCCAATACTATTTTTGCCTTGGCCAGTTAAATAGCAGATACACCACTGCACAATAAAAATCTTCAAAAATAAAATAAAATAAATACCTTTGAAAGCATTCTTCTATTTTTTTTATTTCATCTAACCGTGATTCCGGTAAAAAGAATATGGGAAATGGAATATCCTGTCTCATTAAATTACTGCCCCTCTCATTCCATACAGAGGCACTGGATTCAGTCGAAGAACATGTGCTGCCAGGGCCAGAGAAATATTCATTTGGACATTTTGAATCTTGAGAAAAAGCAAAGATGCTGAAAATTTACAAAAACATATGGTTATAGTTGTAATTCTACTATTTTAGTTTAAGTATTTTATTACTATGTTAATCTTAATATTAGGTCCTTACATATGAAATTGGTGTTTGGTGTGGGAGGAACAAAAAGTCAAATATTTTTTAATATATCTATTTAATCAAAGTATAAAACATTGTTTTTCTATGCACTTTTGGCATCTCATAGGTAGTTCATTGATTCCCTTACTAAAAAAACATTCGGACGGTAATCAATAAAATCTTTGAAGACGATTTGCACTGCCCCATCAGAGTTGAATTTTTTCCCTTGCACGAAGTTAGTCAAGTGGATTAAAACAATTTGATCACTTGTTAGTGATCCGCAGCCTGCAGCTAACTCGGACGTGGTTTGCGATAGATCCGCTTCCACAATAGCCTTCAATTCTTCATTATTAACTCGGGTCAACATATGGGGCTTGTTCTGCATGTCGAAGTTTCCAGAACGAAAACGTTGGAACCAAAAATGCACTGTGTTTTCTTTTGTGACACAACCGCCATACAGATTATTAACTCTTCGAGCCGTTTCCGCAGCACTGGTACCACGGTGGAACTCATACTCGTAAATAACACGATATTTCAAGTTTTCCATTTTTTATACTGGGTGACGTAAATAGGACGTAAATAATAGCCAGTATGAGAAAACGCTAATTTCATATGTAAGGACCTAATATATCAATATCAATGTATTAATGTATAATATATAAATGAAAATGTTAATACAGCATTGTGTATTCATTTACGAGGGCGAAATTGCAAGAAAACGGCAAGTATTCTTATTATTATAAACATGTAATGAATACCCACCCTAAACTGGAATTGTGAAATAACAATACTCCAGCAATATTTCCAGGCTGCTTCAGAAATGTATCTATGACCTGATTGAACATCATTGTACTGACAATGGCCATGTATGGTCCTGCACTGGCATTGTTCACTAACCAATTTGCATCAGTTTGATCAATAACAAAATGCACTACACCGACTGCACCATTATTAGCAGCTAAAACAAAAACAGTTACAATTTATTATTTGAGTTTGTATAAATAATATGCATAATAATAATTTACTACATATAAGTAAGCATATGTTAAGGAGAGTATATGTAGCAGCCAACCTGCACTGTACAATGAAACAGTTTCATATATTCAGTTTCGGACTGACTACATTAGCTTAAATTTATTAAGCATGGGGAGAGTAATATAACTGGTGCTTATCCAATAATAAGTATGTAAATTAATCAGTTTTTGTATATAGCTGTGTATATATAGTATTTTTTTTATTTGCGGATTATCTAGGGTTTATGCAGCCCAGTATCACTGTGACTCCACATACTACAGTTCACGGTCAAGATTACATTCTGCAAGAAAATGTAGTTGTTCTTGGCCATAAATTATTTAATTTTGTCTGGGTGCATCACATGCTTCCCCAGACAGTTACACTGTCTTAGCATTAGCTATGGGCAGTCAGTCAAAATGTGCAAGGGAGTTTCTTCATCCTCCTTGCATCAATATATATAGTAACAATAATATACACAGCAATTGAATTTTTAATGAAATAATGGAATGGGTGCAACTATAATTCTGGCTCATTTCTAAGTGCTGATGTGGCATGTTCATTTGAGTTGGGTTTTGTATTGATACAAAGATTATTACAACAAATAATCTAGCTGAATATAATCTTATTGCTTAAGATGTTTAGAAAGGGATCCCGCTGAATGGAATTTCTATTCTTATTTTCTAAAAGGATTTAATATGATATATTATATTACTGAACACAGTAAATAATCGAGCCTTATCAGATAATGAAGATTAACTTACACGAACAGCCTGCTTGATGAGAACCATTAAGTCTTCTAAAACATGCTGCACCACCTTCTATTGAAGAATAGATCTGCTCATGTAACCTTTCACTAATCGACACTAGGAATATCGAAAGACAATAAAAAATATATATCAGCCTCATTGTATATGTTTAATTTAAAGAAGTGAATCCAAATGTTTAATACTTACATTTATTACACAGAGCACCTAATAATAACAAAATAATATGAAAGTACATTTTTGATTATAGAGACGCAGTTAAAATAAATATTTACTGGGTTTCATATGTATTTAACTGTCTTGATGAGTTTTTAGATAATTTGTATGCAGATTGCACGTATTTTTACCGTTCCTTGAACAATTATTTTAGTTTAAACCTAACAAATGACTAATCTCCTACAATACGAACGAATGACAGTCACGGATTATAGAACAACAAATCTGTATGACATAACTTATTTTTATTGTGTTAGATATAAAAACAATAGGTTCTAGAACATACAACTTCGTCTATTTTTCAAAAACATTTTTTTTATTTACTAAACTATATTTTTATATTCGACAGTACATTGTCTAGCAAAATAGCGTTACTTGTTCAGTCAAACTCTCTAAAATTATTAAAGCAATTTATAGAAAAATGGACATCAAACAGAGTTTGTAGTCTGGAAAACCATAGAAACACAAATTGAATACAAACTATGACTGCTTTAAGGTTAAATATTGCAAGTTTAAATGAGAATCAAATTATTTCAGAGTTTGTTGTGTGGACCAAAGAGCAATGTAAGTGTGGACTAAATCCCTTGTTCAATAATAAAAACATACCCTCTTCCTTAGGGACGTGGCAAAGAAAAATACATCCAACTATTCAATTTATCGATATGTCATCAAAATAAAAAAAAATAAAAGAGATTATTATTAATGGAATAAATGGAAAACAAATATTTTGTTTAAAAGATGTTGTAAAGACAAATGTTTGAATATTAATGTACTTCAGTAATATGTTAGCAAAAAGTGCCGAATTAACATTTTTTTTTTACGAAACCATTATTTAGTCACCGTCCTACGTTAATATCACAACATACTACTTTAAACAATTCTAAGAACTCTTAATCAGAAAGGATAGTGGCGTAACTATACTGTTTGAAGTCCGTGGCAAATTAATCCGATATTGTATTTTTTTCTACTAATTGTATAATAATAAATGTCAGGAATAAGGATTCTCCTCTGACTGAGGGCTTCTTCCAGCTGGAGTTCGTGGCATTTTACCGACTTGCCACCCAGAAGTTACATCGTTGAAAAAGGATGACATTAAAATGGACTATGAAATAGATTAATTTACATTCCTTTTTCAATCTGCGGCAATGTGTTTCGATTCAACCCAGATATTTTTTTCAAATTCAGATATTTTGACGCGTAGACGCCAAACTTTAGAACTACTCGAAGAACGTATGTCAAAGCAACATAAATAGGCCGTACATACTCATGCCGAAAAGCACCGAGAACATCCGAGACTCGTAAAGGTAATACGTTTCTCGCCTTCTCGTTCTCGAGTTCGCGTGTTCTCCATTTGCTGTTGGATTTTTAGCCTGCTTCAAAGGGATTTTACGGGCGAGAAAGATCATCACCTTCTCGTTTAAGTACAGTGCGTCATGAGTTTGATTATTTATTATTAGTGTGTTAATTGGATACCTCTTATTGGATTTTTAAGTCACAAATCTTGTGCACGTATATCAAAGCGCCTGCACTAGCGAAGTTGTCCATTTCGGAGAACGGAAGAACCAGACTGAAAACTAACTGTGAGTGTGAATAGATCACCTATTTATCTTCAAGTCTCGCCGATCCTTTACTCCATAGTCCTTTTTTTACTACACTATATATATCCATAAAACTATAGGCTATGGACCCAGTCCCTATGTAGTTTTTCAGGAAAGTGAAGCAATAAACACCTTAGAATCACGCAGAAAAAATAAGTCATAACAAAATTAAAACGCCATTCCAACTATGGAACATGGTTGTTTATGGAAAATTTATTACTTGTGCAAATAAAGACAAAATTGTTTCAAACAAACAAAAAGCTGCTGGTTTGAAGACTAATTATGAGGGACGTACCATATACTCGAAAATGAGTAATATATTGCTTATTCCCGAATTATCAACTGTTGGTGACCCGCTACGCAAACCTTTTTGGCATGTTTATTTTCTAAATTCTCAGTTTTTAAATAAATGTCATTCATACTATTAGACTTACGAAACAAATGTAAAACTTCAGTGTGAGAATAACAATATACGGCTGTGACGGTGTTTTCGTGGTTTCCTTTAAAATTACCTGGTAGCCAGATCTCTATCTTTTTCATTGGTGTCAGAAGTGGGATAAAATAATAACGATCATGCCCATGGTTACCAGGTCTCGTGTTTGCCAAAACCAAGAAACCCTTAAGTCTAGTTCCTATAGTACAGTGCGTGAAGTGTCTAACGAAGCCGCCTCTAATTGTGGTAGCGCCTCTATTTCCGGCGCTCTAGCGCCAGCGTTACCCAGCGTGCTCCACACAGCGCCACAAGATGACTTACTTACCACTGCATCACAAAGCGCCCCAGCGCCGCCGCTAACCAATTCTCCTCGATCGTGTACGAAATCTACAGCAAAAACTATAAAAGCACAGCAGCTGGCTGCCAAATTGAAACATGCTCGACGACAAGCCGCAATAGAAAAGGAATTGGCAGACTTGGAATTGGAAGCCGAGCTTGCTGCCATTACCTCTTCTACTTCGAGCCATTCACGTTCGGATTATGTGGAACAATGGTTAGTCGCATCGCATGACAATCCCGTAGATAGAGCTTATAATAACCGTTCTATTATTTTCGATAGAGAGAAATGTGTCGATTCAATATGTAGCGCTCCACTAGAACAACCCCCAGCGTCACGTTTAGCAGAGGATAGAGATGCCCTAGTATCTGCAGCACGAGGCTGTACTATACCACGCCTGTCCCCGCTTACCTACAACGATGGCCCTCGGGTACGAGCCGCCGACACATTCACAACTACACATGCTCAAAATATAGGTACACACAACAGTAGTAATGATTGTAATTTGTACAAAAATAAAATTAACAATAAAACTGTAGGTACACATGACAACATTACTTTACTGGCGAACGCTATACTGGATCTAGGAAGGAAGCCGAAGGTCAGTGATCTCCCTAGGTTTGATGGTCGTGCTTCTGACTGGCTCTCGTTCAAAAGGACGTTTGAGCAGTCCGAAGCAAACTTCACGCCGATGGACAACATCGCCAGAATCTCCACTGCGCTTCATGGGTCTGCTAGAGAGGCAGTATCCATGCTTCTCGTCTCTGCTAATGACCCGCGGCAGATAATCAAAGCCCTGGAGAACAGGTTTGCTCAACCGGAGTTTATTATACTTCAGCAACTCTCGCAGGTGCGAAACCTTCCTAGACTTGGCACCTTCGAATCTTCGCGCGACCTCAACATCTTCGCATGCCGCATTAGAAACTGTGTTGAAGTAATTAGACTCCTCAATCAACCTGAGTACCTTGCAGCGCCTGAATTTGTCAACATTATCGTTGGTAAGTTAACTCCGTTGTTGCGTTCGAGATGGGTCGACTTTGCCGCGAATAAATGCACTTCAGGCAAATTCAAATTAGAAATTTTAGCAGACTTTTTGGAAAATGAAGCATATTTACATGTTAAATTTGGATTTATTTCTACAGAGTCGACTCAAATTGTCAATCGGTCTGTCATCAAACCATCCGTCAAAGACAAAGTCTACGCAATCCCACCCGTCAACACGTCAAGTAAACCTCCAAAGATCACCTGTACTCTATGTCAATATTGTCAAGAAAAACATGACATTATGGATTGCAAAGAGTTTGTTTTACTTGACATTGACAATCGTTGGCAGTGGACCATAAACAATAAGGTATGTCGCAGATGTCTGAAAAAAGGATCTCACCAATATCGATCGTGTAAAAAGAGGTGCGAGGTAAAAGATTGCAAGTATTATCACAAACATCATACATTACTGCATCGAGATGCTATCTCGTCGACAGCTGCTCATACTAATATACAGCTAACCCCTTCAACGTCTACTGATATCAAGATACAGACAATCGACAATATTCCTCGCGATACTCTTGATCAAACTTGCGATTCTAATGTTTCTAAAGACGAGAATATAATTGCCACTGTAGGTCATAGCCTTTGCCCTTCTAGTTTATCAATTTGTAAGTCTCTGCTTAAAGTGATAGCGGTTACTATCACAGGACCGAAGGGTAGTATAGACGCATACGCTCTTCTCGATGATGGCAGTTCTGTGACTCTTTTAGATCAGTCAATCGCGGACTTTGTGGGCGCTAAGGGCCCTACTAGCAAGCTAACCATAGATTGTATCGGAGGGTTGAACAAACAAACCGATGTTAGTTACGTCTCAATAAAGGTTAAAGGTCGTCATAGCTTAGAAACTCATGAAATTAGAGCGAGGTCTATTTTTAATTTAGGCATAAACAGACAGTCGGCTAATATTGATAATATCGTGCAATATGAATATTTGTCAGATTTGGCAAACGTATTATGCTATACGGAAGCCAAACCATTGCTTTTAATAGGAGCTGATAATTGGCATCTCCTTCTTACGAAAGCCGTACGTCAAGGAACTCGTAGCCAACCAGTGGCTGCACTTACAGCCTTGGGTTGGGTACTTTTCGGATACGTGCCATGTTCTAATATGTTGAATCATTCGTTCGTTCATCACATCGATGACTCTCAAAATAATGATGATTGTTCTTTAGATGCGCTTTTAAAACAATATTTTAGGCTTGATTCTATTGGAATAGAAAGCGTGTATCACCGCAGTGCTAGCGAAGATCGCGCGTTTAAGATTTTAGAAAATACTACGACACGCCTAGACTCTGGTAGATATCAGACGGGCCTTTTATGGCGAGATAATATTCCTTTCGTTCCCAAGAGTCGCGATCTAGCATTATCACGTTTTTTTAGCCTTGAAAATAAAATGGCAAAAGATAAGTCTTATGCCGAAGCATATAAACTAAATATTCAGGGTATGCTTGACAAGGGTTACGCAGAGCCATGTTCAGATCAAACTTGTGGTAGAATTTTGTGGTATCTTCCACATTTTGGTGTCGTACACCCACAAAAGAAGAAGTTGCGCGTCGTACACGATGCAGCAGCGAAGTGTGCCGGGCTGAGCCTGAACTCTTTTCTGCTGCCCGGTCCCGATCTTCTTCAACCGCTGTTGTCTATTGTTATGCGTTTTAGAGAGCATCCGGTGGCTCTTACGGGTGATATCAGGGAAATGTTCCCGCAGATAAAAATTAGACCTGAAGATAGAGACGCGCAACGGTTCTTGTGGAGGGACGATCCAAAGTTTCCAGTTCAAGAATACCGTATGTCTTCGATGATGTTCGGTACCGCGTCGAGCCCATGCACTGCTTTGTGGGTTAAAAATAATAATGCAATGCAATTTCAGTCGAAATACCCCGACGCGGTAAAGTCTATCATTGAAGACCATTACATGGACGATTTTCTGGGCAGTTATAAGACCGTTGACGAAGCTGCTCGCAGAGCATTCGAAATTGTAACCATACACAAGGCAGCTTGCTTTGAAATGAGATCTTGGGTGTCAAATCGCAAAGAAGCCCTTGCTCTCATTCCTTCTGAATTGCATGCAGTCAACGTTACAGAAGTAGGTCTAGGTTCCGCGACACAGTCACAGGTTAGGGTTTTAGGTCTCACGTGGAACGTTAGCCAGGACACGCTATATTTTATGAAGTCGTCGCCCGAATTACCGAAGATCTTTTCTAAACGTACTGTACTCTCATTATTGATGTCCTTTTATGACCCTCTAGGTCTCATTACCCCAGTAATAATGAAAGGTCGCGTGTTATTCCAAAAAACGTGGAAATTAGGTTCCGATTGGGATCAAATATTACCAAACGCCTTGGTTGACAGTTGGAAGGAATGGTATTGTGAAATTCAAAATTTGGCTAATAAGGCGATTCCAAGGTGCTATTTAGGTTTTTCCGAATTATCTGTCAAAGATGTTCAATTGCATATTTTTGCCGACGCTAGTGAGCGCGCTTATGCGTGCGTAGCTTACTGGCGCTTAACTTTTGAAGATGACAGTGTAAGTTTAGCTTTAATCGGTGGCAAGGGTCGACTAGCTCCATTAAAGCCAGTGTCTATCCCCCGATTAGAGTTACAAGCAGCACTAATTGCTGCCCGTTTTGGTAAATATATACTTGACGCACATAGGAGAAAGCCTAGCGTTACATACTACTGGACGGATTCCACCACCGTCTTAAAATGGCTGCGCAGCGACGCCTGTATATTTAAAGCCTTCGTTTCTTTTCGCGTTGGAGAAATTGTCGAGACCACAAACATCAGTCACTGGAAGTATACTCCGACGGCTCTAAATGTGGCAGACGACGCTACGCGGTATAATCGGGCGTTTACTTTCTCGTCACGGTGGTTTACCGGGCCATCATTTCTATTGTCTTCTCAGGAAAACTGGCCATGTGAACCTATGTGCAGTGTCCCACCGATACTTGAAGAATTGAAACGTACTTCAGAATCGGTGGGACTCCTAATTTCAGGAGTACCGCGTGAGCTACCTTCATCGGTGGTTGCGGGCCACCAACGGTTCAGTCGGTGGATTCGTTTACTCCGAGCTTCAGCGCGGGTATTTCAATGTTGTAGAGTTTTTAAATCTTTTATTAATTCTACTCTTAAATTTTCTACAAATGCCCCTCGCGATCGGTTTAATTTTCCGTTGCTTTCGATTGCAGACCTCAACGTTGCAGAGGTCCATTTATTCCGCGTCGTTCAGGCAGATTCTTTTTCTGATGAATTAATGCTCGTTCAAGCAGCACGCCCTGTTTCAAACGAAAGTAGGCTAAAGAATATCGCGCTACTTATTGGAGAAGATCGACTCCTTCGGCTATCTGGGCGCACGGCTGTTTCTACGGAAATAGAATGTAGTCCAGTTGTGCTCGACGGCAAACATCCAATAGTGAGACTGTTGATTGGCTTTTATCATGAGAGATATGCACACGGCAACAACGAACTGGTGGTTAATGAGCTGCGTCAAAAGTACTTTATCCTCCATTTGAGACCATCAGTTCGTGCAGTATCACAAAAATGCCTAGTTTGTCGGATTCGAAAGGCGAAACCTATAACTCCTCCCTTAGGTGATCTTCCAGACGTGAGATTGGCACATAACCAGCGACCGTTCACATTTGTGGGCCTGGACTACTTCGGACCTTTGAACGTTTCTATAGGTCGAAGAACGGCGAAGAGGTGGATCGCTCTTTTTACTTGTTTGACCGTTCGCGCTGTACATCTTGAGGTCGTGGAGAACCTTTCGGCAGACTCTGCAATCATGACTCTCCGGCGCTTCATAGCGAGAAGAGGTTGTCCAGCTCGCATATATTCGGACAACGGGACTTCGTTCGTCGGTGCAGCGAGATTGTTACCTGACCTCTACGACTTCTGCAGCAACCATAAAATAGATTGGCGGTTTATTCCCCCATCAGCGCCGTTTATGGGTGGATGCTGGGAACGCTTAATACGATCTGTGAAAAACTCCATTATGGTCACCTTAAAAGAACGTTCGCCTCGGGAGGAGGTTCTACACACATTGATCCTAGAAGCGGAGTGTATTGTTAACTCAAGACCCCTTACACATGTGCCTGTTGATCAGGATTCGGACGTCGCTATAACACCTTTTACATTTTTGATCGGAAGTTCCAGTAGCGACTTACCTCTAAGACAATTTGAAGATTGTGATCTTTATAGGCGAGTGAACTGGAGGAAGGCTCAGCGTTTCGCCGATCAAATGTGGCAGCGCTTCATAAAAGAATATTTGCCTACCCTGGTACCACGAAGGTCTACATCCCAATCAGCAGTCAACCTCCAAGTCGGCGACCTCGTATTTATAGCAGACGGCACACTACCAAGATGCAGCTGGCCTAGAGGGAAAATAACAGCCACGTATCCCGGCAAAGATGGAGTAGTTCGCGTGGCCGATGTTGCCACAAAAGGGGGTGTGCTGCGCCGCCCAACGCGGAAGTTAGCGTTGCTGGTCACCGGCCACATTAAATAGGTGCTTCTCACCGTCGGGGGCCATGTTGGTGACCCGCTACGCAAACCTTTTTGGCATGTTTATTTTCTAAATTCTCAGTTTTTAAATAAATGTCATTCATACTATTAGACTTACGAAACAAATGTAAAACTTCAGTGTGAGAATAACAATATACGGCTGTGACGGTGTTTTCGTGGTTTCCTTTAAAATTACCTGGTAGCCAGATCTCTATCTTTTTCATCAACTAATTTGATTTCTGTAAGCAAGATTGCTGAAAGTGGTATAGTTATTATTTTTGATAAAAAGTGTTTTAAAGTTTTTAATGATACTGTTAATGTTAATGTTACAATGGTATAATTCAGCGACATAAGGCGAAATTAGTTGCCAAGGGTTATTTTTATTTTCATCCCCAAAAATGGGGAGCAGATTATTTCGAAACCATTGCACCAGTAGTCAAGCTTTCGTCAATTAGGATACTTTTTGCTTTATCTTCTGAGAAAGACCTCAAGGTATGTACCTCAAGGTATGTACATATCGATATTACTACGGCCTTCTTAAATGGTGACTTTGAGGAAGATTTTTACACGAAGCAACCAGAAACCTTTGTAAAGAAGGGAAATGAGCAAAAGGTATGAAAGATTAAAAAAAAAACATATATGGATTCAAAAAGCAGCTCAATGCTGGAATGTCAAAGTAGATACTCAGATTATTAAGTTCGGCTTCAATAGGTCAAATTATGATGCTTGTGTATATGTTAAAAGAAGTACGAATAATTTTACAGCTATTGCTCTGTACGTAGATGATTTTTATATTATTGGCAGTTCACAACAAGTTATTTTAATCAACAAGTTAAGGATCACATAAGATTAGATTTCAAGATTAAGGATTTGGGTGAGGCTAAGTAATGTCTAGGAATGCAAATCATGAAATCAGAAAACTTGAAAGAAATTCATTTGAATCAGACTAATTGCTAAAAAGATATTAGAATGATTTGGTATGGAAGATTGCAAACCTGTTGCGACACCGTTAGAAACGAATTTGAAGTTGGAATAGGGTGACATAAATCATGACCCCAGCTATCAAGAAATTATTGGGTCTTTGGTGTATCTTGCTTTGGGTACAAGGCCAGATATTGTTTTTGTTATAAGTTACCTCAGTTATTTCAACAACTTCTGGAGCACAACTCATATGTCTGCATTAAAAGTTGTTTTACGGTTCGTCAAAGGCACCATGAATAATGTTTTGACGTATAAGAAAACTGGATAACCGTTGTGTGCTTTTTGTGATGCAGATTGGTGTAAAAATTAAGATGGTCATTCGTTTATACGATATATGCTTGTATATATTATGCCAGCAAATGCTCTCACAAAATGTCTGCTAAAACCAAAGTTTGAGTACTGTTTAAGACGCATGGATATTCAAGAGACGTGTTAAAAATAAAAGTTGAATACCGATACGTCCACTCATAGAGAAAACTATGTTTTTATTTATGATGTATTTTTTTGTTTATCTTTGTTTAAATTTTCTCTATCATAAAATATTTTATTATTTTTTTTAATAAAATTCTTAATAAGTTTACTCCACAATTTTTTATTTGCATACATTGCTTATATCCAAAACTACACGTACTTATCAACTATAAGTAAACGCATATAAAAAACATCGAAAATAATAATACTTTTAAGTGAGACATAATATATTTTTTTAAATCTGTCTGTGTGTGGTATTACGCTTGATTTGTAAACTACAGAAAACTGCTTTATTTTCTACATCCTACGAAGTACCAGACAAAATTTTTCATGAATGCGTCTATTTATTTTATGTAAAAATATCGATATTTTGATGTATCGATAACTTTTACAAGCCTAAACGAACGACGAAGAGGACGACGCCATTTGTGGAGAAGCGACAGCTGTGCATCGAAATAATTTGTTCACTTCGTTTTTAAAATTTAACTAATGTTACCGAAAACGTCTTGATTCCTAATTTATAATAGGCGATAGGCCGCCACGATGTCGGAAAAGATGGAAGTAAAGGTAGGTAAAACTTTAAATTAAATGTTACATTTAATACTTCTATTTCATTGTTCAGCCTTGTCCGTTGGTCGATATTTTTTATATCAATTTATGGGCAACAAATCGATTATTTGGATATGCTGAGCGATAACTATGTTTTCCTAAACTGCACCTTATTTTGTGTTTATTTTATTTTATTATCAATGTATGACAAACAAAATGGTGACATTATATTTAACGACACATCGTGGATTAAATCTACCTTCATGGTTTCGTCATTGTTTTTTAAAGTCCTTGTAGATTTACTCCGATGTATTTGCATGAAACCGTTATTTTTACTGAGAGTTAAATAATTAAGTATTAGCATAAATTTCGTTTTTAACAGTTTTTGTTTTTGTAATACGAATGGCAGTCATTTCAAAATGAGAAGTCTTATATTTAATTTCTCCAAATATATCAAAATACCTGCTACTTTTTTTTATTTCAAATGAAAAGGTATCAAAATGTCTGGAACTTTTTTCTGATGGGCCATGAAGTGCCACATTGTTATTTACTATCACAAAGGGTCACTATTATCCTCAGTTTGAATCAACATAATAGCATCATTTAATTAGATTTGTGCCTGTCTCTTAGACTTTTGACTCCTCTTTAGTCGCATGGCTTTCATAAATCATTTATATGATGGGAATTTGTTCCTGAATTTAGTTTGTATCATGGTAAGACTGAGAAAGGTGGTATTGTTGTTGTTGTTTTAAAATTGGGTAGAAATATCCAGAAAAAAAAGAAAAACAAGCTTGTTCTAACAAAAGTATTCCAATCTGTTTAGACTGCTAAAAGTAGCATTTTGTATCTAATATTTTTCAATGTGTTAATATATTACTAAAAATTTTTGGCAACTTTCAGTGCAGACCACTTTATTTGAAATCTAGAGCAGTTGTCCACTACAGAATATATATGAAAGAATGAATCTGTGACAGCTAAACATTGTTGAATATCTACAAAGAAAATCAGTGTATTATTTTATATTAAAAAAATATATGGGTGTCTGTCTTACATCAGCAACATCTTTTCATAAATACTGGTTATTAGCCCCTTTTTTGACCTAAATCAGTAGTGGGGTCAGGTTAGTAACTTTGTATAAATAATAATATTCAGAACAAAATGGTTCTTCCTAACCTGACCTAACATTTAGTTTATATAATAACCTCCATTGTGACAAGCTTGGTTTTCCTTATTCTCTTTCTTAGAATAAAAGGTACATATGTGACAATTAAGATTTTAATATTATTTATTAAATCATAAAGACCATGATTAATAAGATTGTCTCTTTGTACTTTGATTATGATGAAATGAACTGAGGAAAATCAAATCATTATGATTAATTGTCTCAGAGATCTATGGAGGAGACCAATGCCCAAAAGTCATATGGATGATGATTATGTACAGTGGGTAAAAAAATAAAAGTTTATTGTTGTCTGGTAAGCAAGAAAATAACAACAAATAACAACAAATTATGTTAAGGGATGACAAAATAGGATCAATAAAATATCATAGGAAATTGCTACTTAAAAACAGCTTTTAAATACTTTGATATCTTATTTGAACAGATATTCTGTTGACAGATTTATGGACTTTTAAAGTGGCCCCTAGACTCTAAAATCTTTACTGTTTCGATATTATATTGAAGATTGCACAAGTTTAAGCGAGATTAATTTTTATTGCACCATGTTTTATTTATTGCATTGTTTATATTTTTATTAGTCAATATTTTTTTAGTCTATGTATGAGAAGTAAAAACATTTGTGTGTAATTATGGTGGAAAAGAAAATCAAAAGGTTAAGAAAAAGACATTAGTCTAATGTAAGTAGGTATATGAATAAGTCTGCTTTCTCAATTAACATGTTACAAAAGATTTTTGTGAGTGTATTTCTGCCTTTACTTTTGGTACCAATCATCTTAATCAAAAACTAAAGCAGCAGCTAAATTTTGCAACATATTGTTTTATGCATAGTGCACACAAGATCTATGTTATTCTCTGATTAAACATGAAAGCTTTGGGCCATGTTTTTATTGTAGAGCTCTCAGAGCCGCCTAGAAAAGAAGAGAGGTAATCTACTGAAACACAATATGGGTTATGATAGGTTCCTAGATATGTCGCGGTTTAGCTCTCTTTTGTAAGGTAATAAGGATTTAAATAAAATTAGTCGTCCTATCAATTTCATTTCAAAAACAACTTAAATTAAAATTAAAGTAATGCCATAGGGATGACAAATATTTTTTGTTTGTTAGTCAGGTAGATTATTGAAGAATATTAAACACGTATTTTTTTTATTTTTTGCGTAATCGATAAATTATGGGGATACATTGAGTTGAAATGTCGCATGACGTCACGCTTTTTTACATTTTCTACAAATAAATGTGACTAGTAGCTAGCCCCGTCAACTTTAATGCCTATTATCTAAACCATTTCTTGATTAAAGTAAAAAAAAAATATGTATCTAATAATAGAGTTAAAGTATGAAATTGCCGATTTGTACTAAAAATCAAAATTGTTTATATTTTAACAAATTTATTTAATCAAAATAGTTACCACTATTATCTATACATTGCTGCCATCTAATAGGAAGGTCATTTAACCTTTTGCGATAGAACTCTGAGGATCTAGACTGCACAAACTGTGTGAAAGCATTCTGTACTGCCTCCTGGGTAGAAAACTTTTTGTTGGCGAATACGGAGGATGACGAATGGTTTCTAACTGAAGTTCCTGAAGGGTCGTGCTGCATAAGGTCTCGCGTTGCCATGGAGAAATAATGGTGAAGATCGAGATTCATGAGTCGGGGTTGTTTTACTGCTAGTTTTGCCAACATCGGAGTTAGGCGCAATAGACATCTGCCGTTATTGCTTGACCAGATCGGAGAAAACTATAGTGAATAACACCATGCTGAGACCACCAAACAGTTACCATTACCTTTTATTTGGTACGTTTTGCTTTAGGACACTGTTGTGGCGTTTGACCTGGGGTTGGCTATTGCATTTTTCTTTTACCATAATCATAAAGAATCCACTTTTCATCACATGTCACAATTCAATCCAACATTCCTTCATTTTTGTACCGATTCTACAAGGTAACACGAGTTTCAACACGAGTTTCTTTTTGCAGGTCAATCAAAGCATGAGGCACCCATTTCTCGTATTTTTTTTATTTAATTAATTTGACGCAAATGGGACACGGTGCGTCCATTAGCAGACCCCTCTCCAAAAGCAACATTGATATTGCGGCGTGTTTCTGAGTTGTGGGTGTTATCGTATAACAGGCAGACAATCTCTTGTCTTCGTTTCTTTAGTTTGATTAGCTATTTGTCGCTGTGCCATTTATTAACTATTATTGCTGTGTATTCTGACAATTCTTATTCCTATTTTCAGCCGTTGCCGATTGTTTTGTAATTAACATTCAGTATGAACTTCTCATATTGTAAGCCTTAATATAATAATTATGTATTTTTATGGTAAGAAGTGAAATTAGTTAATATGTTGCTAGTTCAGTTTAGAGCCGATTTTAGGGTTCCTTGTAGTTTGTCAAGCAAGATCCTTTTTTCATTAACACTTGGAGGCATAGGTATCAACCCGAAATAATAACTAATACGTACTGAATGTAATCACTTGAAATAATGAAAAAAATACTATGGATTTTGATGCTGCTTCACGTTGTCTTAGAATCATATTTTTTCCCAAGAAGCCTTGTTTAAATCTTGATGGGTTCGATCTTTAAGAACGTTGCTCAGTAGCAACATCAGTAATCCGAGCACCAACTGAAATTAAATGAGTATGCATTTGTATTACTAATGAATTATCATAACGCATTTATTATAACCACGGACAAGACACGGAATCATTATCATACAAAATGTATTGCACTTTGAGGTTACAGGTAATTTGTGAAGAACACTGCGCATTATGTTTACTGTGGATAAAATAATCTTTATTAAATTTTCGTAGTTTTTGGACTGTTAGTTGGTTTTAGAAATGTTGTAAATTTCATGAACCATATTTGTGTAGCCCAGCTAGGGTTGCCAGATGGTCGGGATTGATCTGGATTATCCCGAGTTTTCGGAGGTTGACCAGAGTCCTGAAAAAAAGGAAATATCCCGTCAAATATTAAATAATTGATTAAATTAACCAAGCAACCGCAGGGTAACGTCTGAAACAACCTATTAATAATTCCATTATCTTTGTTTGGTAATCATCAATATTTTTTGAAGCAAACGATGATATCTATTCTGGAACGACGCCCATAAAGAAATCACAACAATACAGTTACATTACACTAATGTAGGTTAAACAGGTAAAAGACAAATATGATAATGATAAAAGAAACTGCTTAGGTAACGCTGAACAAAGGTCAACCAACTAATTAACTGATAATTCATCGGGAATACCGAAATTTATTGTTAGGATAACGAACCGCTTATTCGCGAATGGGTGGGGCTCTAAAGAGAATAGGATTGCAGTTATTGCACTATACAAAGTAGGTAAGGAGCCAGCCGACATTTTTGACACATTGAAAAAACTAGAGATTAGTCGAGTGTTTGTGTATCGTACCATGCAAAGGTACACTGAAACCACGTCTGTTGATGACCGTGAGAGATCCTGCCGAACGCGATCTATTCGCGCCAACCAGGCCATTAATGCAATCAAAGCCAGAATACGTCGAAATCCCATAAGAAAGCAGAAAATCCTTTCCAGAGAAATGAGAAGCCCACTGAGGACGCTTTCTCGGATTATCAAACAAGACTTAGGTTACCGGAGATACAAAGGACTTACCTTAAATCAGGCACTAAAACAAAAGAGTCGAAATACTAAAACAGCCGTTACTTCGATACGCGGTGGAAAAACAGAAAAATTCTCTTTACCGATGAAAAAAAAATTTACAATCGAGGAGCACTAAAACAAACAAAATGATCGAGTGTATGCACACAGCTCTAAAGAAGCTTCCGAGGTAGTAGCCAAAGTTCAGCGAGGCCATCATCCAGCATAAATTGGCCAACGAGGTTTGGCGGAGTGTTTCCTATCAAGAGGTTCAGCAAAACTTCATCCAAAGTGTATCAAGCTACCGAGTTAGAAGCGGTAGTTTAACCTTTCAATAACACCTTATTCAAAAACGAAGTGTGAACATTCCAACAGGATTCAGCCCCGGGTCATAAGGCGCGCACTACCCAAATTTGGCTTGAGCAAAATGTTTCAGACTTCATAAAGGCTAATGATTCGCCTCCGGCTAGTCTGAAATTAAACACTTTGGACTATAAATTGTTGTCTGTTCTAGAGGACATTGCCTGCTCTAAGGGTCACCCAAATATTGGGTCGCTCAAGAAATCTTCGGAGGCAGCAGTGACCAAGTTTCCAATGGAAACCGTAAATCCATCAATGAATGGCCCGACCGTTTAAAAGTGTGCCTTGAAGCTAACAGTGGACACTTTAAATGACTAGTTTAGTACGTTAACATATGTTTTTCACTCTACTACCCTAAAAAAATATTTTAAGGTTTTATATATGATTATTATATATAAAACCTTAAAATGTTTTTTTTTTAATTATCGGATATTATCTTCATAACAGAAATTATGGCTAGACTAGGTACGTAGGTAGGTATATATATCTTCATGTCTATTACATTTTTGCGTGTGTTCATGCGGATAACAATCAGCAAAAATCAGTGGTCATATACAGCGCTACTATAAATAATACCAGAAACTTATCGACTATATTCATATGAAAATAATCGATAAGTTTCTAGTGTTATTATTAAATAATCATAAACTTAATGTCGACTTTTCATGCTCATATGATCAGTATCTCACTCTCGCCTTGACAAGTGCCATTGCGATAGATACAACATAACATTTACAGTTTACTTTTGGTGATTTACTTATTGTTTTAATTAATTAAGAGACAAGATTGAATCTATTTTATGGTAGTATGCAGATTTAACATCACTTATAAACCAAGATCAATAATATGTAATTCTCTTCAGTAAAAATGCGTGCATTGGATTGGGAATATCAGTTCCATTGGCAGAGCAAATATTGATATGAATGTTCGGTACAAATTCAATTCCAAATCAGAAATTTTTCATTCCAAACATTTATAAAGCAATTTTTAAGATACTATAGAGTATTGAATCACGTTTATTTCATCATCTACTTTAATATTATCACTATTATACTCGCCTATATCACGTAGGCATGTAGTGAAATTATTTCATCACAAAAGACAAAGGGCAACAACTCATAAAACACGACATGACGATGAAGGAATTATTTCTAAAGAAAATAGAAATCTATTAGAATCGTAAAGATGAGATGACGTGAGTGTAGAGTCCATCCTGATTTCTCTGATTTACCCTACTTCAGACGCTATTATTTATCAATTGTAAAAGTTTGCTACATATATCAACGACGTAGGCGAATTATAGATTGTGTGTGCGGGGGCTTTAAAACCATAAGTCCAAATTTTTCATCATCACGTTTTTTTATATCTTTCCAGTCCGAGGCACTGCCAGATCTCGATGATCTACTTCAATGTCCTGTGTGCTACGAGATCCCTTCGGGTCAGATCTTCCAATGCAATGAGGGTCACCACGTGTGTGGTCGCTGCAAGATGCGTCTTGATATGTGTCCGGTGTGCCGTGCCCTGTTCTTTGGTACTCGCAACTACGCGATGGAAGAGCTCATTGCCAATGTTAGAAAACTACGGGCTTTTGTAAGTATGAAAAAGTCTAAATGTGTTTACTCGTAATCAATCTATTAATGTCTTCGCTACTGAGGCTGAGGCCTTCTCTAGAGATAGGGAGAATGGGCCATGACCCACTACGCAGGCCCAGTATGTAAAAAACTGCAGATGCAGCCGGGACCAACGGCTTAACGTGCCTTCCGAAGCACGAAGGAGCTCAAGATAAAAAATGTTTGGTCACTCATCTTATCCTTTGCGAAATTTGCTTAACAACTGTATCGCAGACAGAGTGCGCTAACCATTGCGCCGTCGAGCTCCTCAAATATATTTACTGAGTAATAAAAACGATTTTTAACTATAAGTCGCCTCTGGTCTGATATGTATTAATTACTTGTGTATAGAAATTGGGTGGGAAAGTAACCACTGGCGCCGATGCTGTAGAGAGCAGTGCACCTTCGAGTGTGTCACCTGCGGAACCTGAAAGCGAGACTACCGAGGAAGAGGAAAGCAACCACGAGTCATCCAGTGTAAGTATTGCTTGTAGGACCTCTGTAGCAGAGTAGTTCGCACGTCGGTTTCAGGGTGTCGCCTCTGAACCTCGGGTTCTATTCCCGGTCGGGTCAATGCAGAAAGTGGACTTTTATATTGTCTGAGTATTGTGGTATCTTCCTTGTCTCTGATACTCCATAATACAGGGGATTGAGCAACGCTTGCGTTGTGTTTCTTCGTGTGAGTGAGAGTACCGGAGGCCCAACCCCTTCCTATGCCCTTCCCTCCCTATGATCATATTCGTCCCTCAAAGGCCGGCAGCGCGCTTGTAGCCCCTCTGGTGTTGCAGGTGTCCATGGGCGACGGTAATCACTTACCATCAGGTGATCCGTCTGCTCGTCTGCCCCATATCCCATAAAAAAAACAACTTTGCCTTCACAATGCTATAAAAAATGCTTAAAAAGTCTACTTTTGTCTATGGCATTCTGTGATGGGACTCGAACCCATGACCTTTCGCAATCCGGGCGACTGCTCTAATCACTGAGCTACGCAGGACCAAACAGGACTGACGAATTTTCAAGCACTAGTTACTTTTTCGCTACTACAGAGCGTATTTTCATCAATGTTCAGGCAATCCACCGAAACAGGCGAAATAAATATATTTACAAATGTTTAAACTTTTGATAAAGATGATTTGTTCTAATTATCATATTTGATCAATTTTGCATTTAAAAGGCTGTACTAAAAATATTTTTAATGAAAACTCTTCATTAAGAATGCATGTGATGATGTATAATGTATGTTATGTTACAAGTATGTTGATTTAATGTTGTTTCTATATTTGTCATGTTACAAAAGATACAATTGTTTCATTAAATTTTAGCGGTCTGCTTTGCGTGCTCCACCGGCTTGTAAAGGTTTGTTTCGCTGCTTGTGCTGCAAAAATGGAAATAGTGAGCGCCTCCCTTCCGCGCGCCTGCTCAACCATCTACGTTATTTCCATGCTCCTGAACTCATTGAGGTAAATATTTTTTTGTTATTCATCTAGTGTTTTTTTTTTATTGGAATAATTAATTCGATTTCTTTTCTTCGTTTTAGGGTCAGTCGGAAAATGGGGAATATATTCAAGCTTGGCAATTTTCTACTGTACCAGGCAGAATTGTTACAGCTGTCAGAATTTCCGATATGGGCATATTCTTCTTAATAATCGAAATAGCTTGTAAGTATTGACAATATTAATAATGTGTCTCTAATTACTCTAATTTTTTTTTTTGTATTCTGTCCATTGTTCATAAAAAGTTAATAGTTTTCAATACAAAATAGTTGTTATTTTTAGCATTAAAAATGTTGCAACTTGATAAAATTTAACATAAATACCAAGTTAAGTACACACCGCTGCAAGTCAGGTTAGCACAATATGTCTATCTTCAAACTACTCTCAATACATTAAGTTTTTAAAATCAAGTGTAAAAATTTGACAGGTTTGTATAATCTACATATATAAATTTATAACGCATTAAGTTAATGTAAGTAAAATATTTTGGACATTTTCAGTGGACTCTGTTTGTGCTTGGCTCGCTATGGCTGCGTCGCCGTGGGTAGCTCATGAGTTCAGCTACACAGTCACTATTTCCGGAAACGATCGAGAGGCTATTTTTTCTGATTGTGTATGTATTTTTATTATACTTATGTGACTTGATACTAATTTCAGTAAATACCATATGATGTTAAAGAACCTTCAGTTTAAATGTCCCTTTGTCAATCATTCAAATCCTTCATTGGCTCAGCCGTATTACAATAGGGTATACTACACTGTTTGAAATAATATTTGTAACTGTTTATTTTAATTAAAAAAAAAGCCTTATTACAAATATTTCGGAAAAATCGACACGTTTTCTTACCTTAAGATTAAATAAAAATTTAACCTTTTTTATACCCACGTAAACGCCATCATATTGATTACGTCATAATTCATAGAGTAGAAGATTAAAAGACGTCAATAAAACAAGAAAAATGCCATTTAACGATTGATATAAAGATATACGCTAAGAACAGCGCCATCTATGAATTTGATTTATAATTATTAAGCATATATCTTTATGGCTTATTTGACAGTTGTTGTCTTTTTCTAACTTTTGATTAAGAGAATAAGATAATTGTGCGGTTTTAAGTCTCAAAATCAGAATCTCTATATTGTGCAATTTCGTGACCTATTTATCACTTCCGAAATTACCCTATTATGCTTTTTGCAATGAAAAACAATATTTATGTCGCAACCAATTAGGCGGCTAACCCTTTAATTGAATGGCGCCATCCAATTAACAGGCCGACTTTCGATCAGCCAAGTATCTAATTCATTGTTGACTCACCGGGATCACCTATATTTATTGGTAGGATTTGAAGTAAAAAATATATATTGTAATGGGTGATTTTATATAAAGCTCAAAAATTCCTTGTTACGTAATTGATACAGATACAGGACTGATCAAAAAGATAAAACGAACTGTTTATTCGCGACTGAGTGTTAATGGTATGTATAATTCAATACAGAAAACTAGCATACACACTCATAACACAAGCGGGTTAAAAACGCTAGGTTTTATTGATAGAGTCACCAAAGCCTTTTCTAACATTAATATGTTGAAATCACACTATTTTATGGTAATATAATTTCTTAAATTTGGTTTTGATTGTTTAATATGAGTATGTTTATTATGATTTCGAAGTTAAGTACTACAAGCCTATTAATATTATAAATATGAAAGCTTCTTTGTTTGGATGTTTGTCCGTCAATCACGTCGAAACTACTGAACTTTTGATGAAATTTGGTATACAGATAGGGTATTAGCTGACTTAGATAATAGGATACTTTTTAGGCTACTCAATAGAATGTCGGTTTTAAACAGTTGTCTGCGACATTTATATATTTGTTTACAAAGATTGACGCCTTTCTTAATACGAAATTGTTCTGATTCAGGTATGGTCGGTCAGATCGTGCGAGGGATCTCTAAAGAAGCGCGGCCACTGCTTGGCGGTGAACGGGCTCGATGCACGCGCGCTGATAGCGCCAGTGTCTATCAACGGCAAGTTGTCAGTAAGACGCACACCGCCCGAACAACTGGTGCATATGCCGCAGCCGCGCGCCGTACTGCGTGTCGCTAGCCGCGGCAACGCGCGTGACAACCGCGCCCCCGTCTCGCAAGACCTCGAACCGTTTTTGCAAGATCTCCAGAACGACGTAGCGAGATTGTCGCGAGCTTTCGCAACACTCGGCCGCGAAGCCGACGCCTTAGTGCGCTCAGAGGCTGAAATGCGGGCGCGGATCGAGGGCGGCTCTAGAAACCAAATAACGTCCGCTCCGGACCGTCCGGTGCCGCCGCCGCCGTCGAACGGCGAGTCTCAAGCGGTAGTGGCCAACCAAGTCGACGGGGGTGAACGTCCGCAAGCAGCACCTCTGTCCCGCAACGCCCGTAGACGCATCAGGCAAAGACTACGAGCGGCACTGAACGCGACACAATCTCCTAACGAACGATCTGCACCGGCGCCAGTATCGATAGCCAACGGACTTATTATGCCTGTTGAAATACAAAACGGACATGTTTCTAATGATGTGGTCCATAGAGTGGGCTATGCTGTTGTCGTTGAACAGCCACCTGTCCCTCAACCGCCTGTGCCACCGCCACAGGCTGCGAGCAGTTCCTCTAATGGACATTCTCAAAATGGCAATCAAACTTCTCGCACAAACAAAAAGCGTCGTCGCCATCGTAGATAAAATGTAATAAGTATAATTAAGTTACTAGTTAAAGGGTATAAGGTAACTTTTGCCGATTGTTATTGACTGCTCTGTTCAAAGTATCAACTATCCTCTGGGGCTGCCTCCAACGGGCTTGTTGTATATAAATATTTTAGTCTTTTGACAAACGCAATTGTACAAGTGCTGTGATATGAATACTGCATGGTAATTCCGTGATAATGGGATACTACTTAATTGATTACTTAAAATACCCCCAGAGTGAGCAAATATTAATGTTTTTAATTCATAGAATAATTGTTATGAACTAACTATATTTCAGTTGATGAAATGCATTTGTAAAATATTTTTGATTTTGACATTAACATTTTATGTAAAAATTAATTGACAACTATTGAAATTGATGAATGTGCTTGTTTTATCCTTGTAATCGTGAATTTTGTTGTAGAATTAATATCTACTGTGTTTAATAACTAAGATACCTGTTAATCATCTTAACAGAAGATAGTTATACATAATAATTATATTATAAGAAATCCATTACATATTGTTTTTTTTCCCAACACTATTAATAATCTACAGGTTGATACCTATCCCACGCATATCGAGTAAAGTAGGGCTATCTCGGATTATGAAATATTAGTTTTCTAAGGCACGGTTGCAGTAATTCAACGCCATATTTAAGTTATGACACCACTAACTGTGCCATTATTACACATTACCACTAACTATTCCATTATTTAGACAAACTTTATACTGAAAAAATTAAATGTTACTGGTTGTAATTTCTATTTTTTAACGTTAGTTTTCATCGCAAACTTAGCGATGAGTCCTTATCCAGTTTTTAAATCACATAACGTAACCGCTATCAGCCCTGCGATTCTGTAAAAATCCAAACCCGAATTCAAATTCACTCAGATGTCCGAATTCACTTCAAAAAGCTGCATCCGCTCAACCTTTAATCGGTAATAACGTTTCGTCGCATAAGTGAAGTGAGTTTCGAAATGACAGGAATAGAATATCTGAGATACGTATATTCAAATCAATTTTGTTTCGTATTTTTATACAACAAATGGAATCCAAAAAATTTTTCATTAAATGACTTGAATTCGGACACATGAGTGAACTCCAATTTGGGTCTGGATTTTATCACCGATATCAAAACTGTCTATTTTTGATAACCAGTTATTTCTACAAAGTCAAAACGTGGAAAATAGATAGTTATTGTATCACTGAATCACTAGTGATCGCGGTTCAGGCAAATCACTAGTTGAATAACTGTCTATCGCGCAAAACGTCCATCGCTAATGCATTTGTTTATATTTGCTCGTGATGGAGGGAACGAAATAATGAGGAAGTATTTAAAAAAATGAAAGCACAAAAAAAGCACCTCCACTAGATGACGACACTAGCAAAAGTTGATTTTTGCAGGAAACGAATGGACCAAAGCCAGTCATTTCCGTTCCTTTTAATATTAAAAAACTGAAATTTGAGAAGTTCTAAACTTAGATATCAAATACAAAAAAGTACAAATAGAATATGAATTGTTTATTGAGTTTTGAAAACCAATTTACTTTTAAACATGAATGAAAACCGGAAACATGAATGAAAACCGGAAGGGTTGTCAGGGAGAAATCAAGAACGTATCGTAGGGACATCTAGTTTGATTTCGGGAACTAATGTTTTTTTTTAGATACTTCCCCATTATATGCAACTGTCATTTTGCTATTTAAGGCGGCAAAATAACCGATGCAGATTTTCCTCAAGCTGAAAAGTTTTCCTGTAAGCGATAACTTCGTTTATTACACAATACTTCCCAGAAGAGACTCGCTCTGCAGACTAATATTCCACGCGTTTCAGTGAACAGAATACTGAAATATGATCTCAAGGTAAAGGCCTACAGCCGTAGAAAAGTTCATTTTTTAAACGATCGTTTTCGTAAGTTACGACGCGAACTTTGTCCATTGCTGCTGAGGAGACATGATGCTAGGAAGATACTCTTCAGCGACAAGAATTTTTTTACTATCGAAGAAAAGTTCAACCGACAAAACAATCAAGTGTACGCTAAAAGTAACAAGGATGTCCCAGCTTCTGCACGGAATGTCTCGCGCACTCATCATCCGGCTAGTGTGATGGTATGGTGGGGAGTTTCGAATCAAGGTGTCAACAAGGTGTCAAGATGAAAACCAAGACTTATCAGAGTAACATTTTAGAGCCCGTGGTGAAACCGCAGTCTGTTACGTTATTTCACAATAATGATTTGGTTTTTCGGCAAGTCTCGGCGCTATCCCATAAGACAAAAAGCACCCAACTTGGTTGAGGGAGAATGTGCCGGCTTTCATCGCGACGGACGAGTGGCCCCCTTCCAGCCCCGACATCAACCTGCTGGATAATTCTTTATGGACTGAATTAGAGCCTGCCGAAAGTCCCACCCAAACTTGGAGTCACTGAAGCGAACTGTGGCGACTGATACATAGCGACATCTATTACATCGCAGTAACATCGCCACAACAATCGATAGCGAGAAGACTAGCATAGTCACAGCCATCGATAGCAAGACGAACTGCAATAAGTTTCAACAGCAAGTAACGAGATGGCGCTGTACCAATACATCGGTTGGACCGCGGTCCCCGGGCTAACAACACCTAGCTCGGAGGGAGACAATTATCCTTTAGTCTCCCTGACCAGTTGTCTCCTTCACCACAATAGGGACTCCAACCTCCAACCTTTGGGTTCCTAAAGAACCCTTGTTCGAGAAACAAAGCGAATTCCGATAGAAAAAGAAGACCAAATCGTCTAAGGGTCTGTATTAAAAACAAGGGCGGTCATTTTGAATAAAAAAGATATTTTATTTTGATTATTATCTATTTAATGGTTACTGAAAGTATTAGAAATATAAGTTAATTATTAAAAAAGTTACACAACTTTTATTTCGTCTCAAAACTTATGAACTCAAGAGGTATTATGTTTTTGGTCTTCCTAATTTTGCACACAGCCCTATATTTCTGGTGATTAGTAAGATCTTTTGTAAATAGGTTGCCTGGAAGAGATCGCTGTTAAACGATACCACCGTTTGTATTTGTATTTTTTTCTGTTCTGTAAAGTGTCAAATAAATAAAGGTTTTTTTATTTAATTTACGGGCAGAAAGAAAACCTTGTGTCATGATTTAATTAATTAAAGTATGACATTAGTTAAAAGTATGTACGCGAATAAGATTATTAAGTGGTTGATTTTACTTTTGATAAAATAGATATTTGTACTGAATCATATCAAGTGTTCCCATAAATAAACCAATGCAGTCGCAGGTTCACGGTAGAACGGGAACCGCTTAACCACGAAATGATAAATATTATATTTTAATCTTACCTCTACATACAGTTCAGTTTCGCTCGTTCGCTTGCCTTAGTAGCACGTATATAACAACCTGTCCTGCGAAAACATATAACGTCAACCTTTTTCGTTTTTACCGAAACTGAATATTTATTTATTAACTTGCTATTCTGGTTCACTTTCGTTGTAAGAATGAAGTGCGCCGTGTGTGATGAGTCTTTTAACGATGGGGTCCAATGTGGGACATGCAAGAAATACCTCGATTTTGGCTGTGCCAATATTTTGGAGGCCGGATACAGGAAGCTTGGTCCTGATCGTAGAGCAGTATGGAAGTGTCCGCAATGCAAGTTATTAAGATCTTCACCTATACCGGGTAGTGATTCTGCCATGCTTGACACTATACTCAGCGAGTTACGCGAGGTAAAGAGTCAACTTGCTAGTCTGCCTGCATTCTTAGATGATGTCAAATCCATTAAACAAGAATTAACTGACCTGAAAGAATCATGTGACTTCAACAGTGCTAAACTGAATGTCGGATATAGAACGCAAGATGATTGGTGTCCAGAAGATAGAAACAACTTTTCATTTGGTTACCAATGAAATTTCTACTATCAAAAGGGACTTGGCGTTGAGAGATCAATATGCCAGGCTCAATAATGTCGAGGTAAAAGGGATTCCAGTCAAGGCGAATGAAAACCTTTTCGTCGTTGCAGAGGCGCTGATTAATGCCATAGGCTGTGCTTTTGCTAAGACACAGATTAACTATATAGCCAGAGTACCCGTCCACAACTCCAAAGAAAAATCTATAATAATCACCTTCATTAATAGATATATAAAGGAAGAGTTTGTGGCCGCAGCGCGTGCTAAGAAAAATATTACCGCTGCTGATAATGGCTTTGTGGGAAACACTCAACGTATCTATGTAAACGATCATTTAACACCGGATTATAAAAATTTACTTACAAAAACCAAAACTGCGGCTAAAACAAAGGGCTACAACTACGTGTGGGTAAAGTTCTGCAAAATCCATGTTCGGAAGAATGATACTTCTCACGTCTTTATAATATCAAGGAAAGTGATTTAAACAAAATCGTTTAATTTATTGTTATATTCGTTTGCCTTATTTACCAATGCTGCTATTTTTTATATTATATTTACTTTTATAATTGCTTGTGTCATGCGCATTAATACTAATTCGTTGCTGTTACAAAAAAGGTTTGTGATCGCTGCGTTATCAGCTGCGCCGATTCCTTGCTATTGTCTCAAGCTACTTGTTCATAACCGGTCTTACTTGTCCGGTTTCTATTCAATAGTCGTTGTTGAGTTGTGCTGCTTATCTGCTTGTGTCCTTGAGTGCTTCATTTGCCAGTCTCGCTTTCTATTATGTTATTCTCGACTTAATAATCTTCATGCTACCGTTTTGATTTGCACTGCACTGATTTTATTATTTTATTTTATTTTGTTATTTTATTATAATTATGTGAAGTTTTGCACGCCTTTTGCTACTTACGACTATTTTACTTATTTCACCTGTGTTTTATTATATACTTTATATTTGACTATGCTGAAAAAGATATATGATTTATTCCCTGACAAATACAGTAGGGCCTCGATAATCCGAACACCCAAAATTTACACCCTGTTCGGATGCACGCAGCGTTCGGATTATAGTATGTATACATTTTAAAAGGTATATATAGCAATAAAACAATACTGTTTATTATAGAAAATATGTTTTAATCACTTAAAACTGTTGAATGATGACGCTATTACATATACATATGTATGTACTTATATACCTACATTATGTTTATACTTTTTTAAAGAATTCTAATAAAGTGCTTTGACGGCTAGTTTTTAGCGACATTGTAAACGCTTTATCCCTTAATTTACGCAAAAGCATTTTTTCTGATATAGAAATGTCGATTTCATCTGCCCATTCTAAGCAGGTGTTTAAGGCAAACACAACTTGAGCATGTGAAACCTTTGCCGCTGGTTCAGATGCTTCCAACTCTTCATCATTTTCGCTGTCTTGCTCATTTGTTATTTGTCTCACTATGTCCTCATCAGTCAAGGGCTCTTGACAATCAATATCATCATCGTTTACCAAGAAATTATTAATGTCTGATTCTGAGAAGCCTCTGTTATGAAAAATGCTTAATGGTAAGTCATCTTCAGGATCAAAATCTCCCTCTTCTTGGCTAGAAA